GGCACTAACATACATCAGTCATGGGTAACAAGATCACCTACCACTCCCCCAGTCGTGGTTCTTCCATGGAAATGGGCGCTGCCATTACTGTCCTTGTCTTCTCCCAGTACTCTCTACCTGTTTCTACTTCCATGTGTATCACTGGTGCCACGGTCGGCGTTGGTCTGTGCAATGGTACTCTGAAGGCTGTCAACTTCCAGCGTGTTGGTCTCTTGGTCTTCTCTTGGATCATGACAATCCCCGTCGCCGGCACGCTTGGCGGGGTCCTCATGGGCCTTTTTCTTAACGCTCCTCACTTCTAAGCCCAATCAATCTTTACCCAGCAGGGACTTTCACTTGATACCATTTTACTAGACACATAATGTACATGAATAAAAAGGGGGCTCGGCACGGCATACAGATAAAGGCGGGTGGCTTGTCAGTAGCATCAATAGCACATTTTTGACAACTATATTCTTTGCAATCTAGCCAAGGACTTGGCGTAGTCTGGACGTAAGTGAGTGAAATATGTGAAAGCGTAGTGTCGGTGAAGAGCGTTTGGAAAAAGAATCCCACCAGGGCCGGAGCGGGTGCCGTTCCGCGGCCCGTCCCACTCTTAAAGTCTAGCCAAGCCGGACATGTGATGTGTTCATACATACAACAGGAAGCTAGTGATGTTGCCTTCATCTTCGGGGCTTTCTTGGCAGAAGTAAGCCATCACCCTGTGGTAGATCATGATGTCTCCGGGGACGATGCATGGGATTAACAAAGGTGTGGCAGATGTGGTATAAGGCAGAGTAGGTATACCGGACTGAACGGGTTCTCAATTTATCCCCAACAAACTTGGCAAAACCTAAAGTCAGCTCGTTGGAACAGAAGACAGGACATGGGTAGTTTCTCATTTCGTGATTGGGTGCTGAAATTGAAGTTGTCAAGATGTCGTGGGGTAGCGCCAAGCTTTTGTTGTGGCTATGCGAGCGTGGCATCGCCTATCACCTTAACTGCCCATGAGAATGCCAAGATTACACATTCCCACAGTGAGAGCAAGCCCTGAAGAGGGAAGTAGCATGGTAACTGAAGTCGGCAATTGATCGCGTGAACAGTAATGCTTCAGCTTGGCGCTCTCTAAGAGTTGTTGTAACCACCGACACGTCAGTCTCTGCCGGGAGTGCTTCTATTTTGGAACCCTGGTTGACAGGACGGACGAGACACGGAGCTCGTGTGATTAATTCACTCATGCCTAGACCGTCCATTTGTACTCTCATCCTTGGCAGACTAGAAAGGTGGCGTGATGAGTACCTTAGCCCGAAGACTGTGTTCGGTTTGCTGTTTAATCTTCCTTAATGTAGTCAAACAAGCCAAGTCACCGCCAACGGGAACATCTGACGCGATTTATCCATCTCAAAAGACCAAAGATCGAGGCTATTTTGGGAAAGGACTACAGAATATATTTTTCTTACCCGACCAGAGGGTTTATCACCAAAGCCCGAGAGCGTAACGAAGGCCCTCGTTGCGAGTAGAGTCTACTGTTTGACACCTGCACTAATATGAAGCTTTTAATTCAATGTTTTCCATACAACTCTCAATTCATGATTCATGAAGTATTATACGCGAACGCCTTGCCACATGAATCTTGAGTTCTGGTATCGTTGGGTATCAGAATATGATGCAGTGAAAAGTTTCTTCAGTTGAATGCAGTTGATAGTAGTCGAAAGAGATTATATGTAGTCTCAGGTATGAAATGACATTGGAAGATCGAGTTGTCAAGCTATCTCAATATATTTTAACTACCTCTACCTCTCAATAATACATCAGTAACAAAGCATGCAAAGACCTCGCCCTCATACATAACGCTGATGTGACGTTTGGAAAGCTGAAACATAACTTTCCCAGAATGATTATATTCATTCTTCCGCATGGATTAGCGTATAGCCTGTGGTGAGGCGGATGAGTGCCTCGTCTGTGTTGAGTGGATCAAGCACAGAATGTAGGCCGCGGCAAAGGTAGCCCATAACTTCAGTCATCGAAACCGTTGCCTACTTGAGTCTGCATGACTAGACAGCTACGAAAGAAAGATCTGCTTTACAGTCTTAAGTAAAGTGTCTTATCTCATCTGACTGATTGTTTGAGGGCGTACATGCGCTCATCTCGATGACTATCATCGCGTGCCAGCGTGGCTCACTAGCCTTAGTTTGCCCGCGTGAAACTCAATCTGACGCATTTCATTCATGGTTATACCTCAAATAGGAATACGGCAGAACATCTACTTCATACGATCAACTCGCAAACGTCACTGCGCAAAGCGTCTCTGTGCCGAAATAGGAGTGAATGTTTTATTTCGGCCGAGATTGCCGAGTGAAGCATAAACCAGGTTGCAGTATGTAGGATATCAGACTTGGTGAGCCGCAATGAAGTGAAAGAGTTCAATCAACTTCATCTCAGCTTTTTAGAACCATTGACTATTTGATAGCCAAAAAGCATCTAGCAGAGCTTCATGCAAACAGGAACGAAGTCATCGAGCGTTCATGCGGAAGTTCAACAGACTGGCCCCGGTTCATGCCCCTAAGCGGAAACGCGGACACATGGGGCCCCATGCTCAAAGCATCGATTTTCGTATTTGATACGAAAAGAAGACGAAATTCGGTTGGCAGCACCATCGCACCGCCCCCCGCCCCCCGCTAGGACCGCTCGCAGCAAGGGACCAGTTGAATTCGGCGGGGAGCTTCGCCGAGGCATGGAAGCTGTGAAACAGCCGTAGCTGACGAGTGACGAAGCGACGAATCCGACTTTTGTCTCGACAGAACTGCTGCGTGCAACAACATTACAACTTTTAATCAATCGTCTACTTGATCTCGTGCAGTACCCTTGCAGGATTTAGGATTTTCGAGGAATAGATTCAAAATTGATCGTCTCAACACATTCGGATCTCAACTCGAATAACTTCAAACAATGCCAGCCGGAATCACCCAGCTACTCTCCCTTGCTCCCGGAGGATTCGGTTCCCAGGCCCCTCTCGGAGCTTTACACTCAAGAGTGGGGGCTTCCAGCATAAGCATCGATCCCAACCCATGCGCTGCCGCGACATTCTCGGCGCCATCGTTGCTAGGAGCAAATCTCATTTCCTTGGAAGCGTCATTGGTCACAAACTTCAGCGGGCTAGTACCTGCAGAGTGGAGATTCTCTCAACCTGCTGTCGAAATACGCAATGCCTCATTCTGCAATATCACCGTGTCTTACACCCACCCTGGCCATAGTGACGTTGTCAATGTCGAGACCTGGCTACCATCCAAGGGTTGGAACGGGAGACTACAAGCTGTCGGAGGTGGGGGATGGCGCGCTGGGAGAATGCTTCTAAGTTATACGACTATGGCCGGTGCTATCGCAGATGGTTATGCCACTGTGACCACGGATTCTGGACTTGGAGACGCCATGGGGCCCGACTCGTGGGCTCTGATAAGTCCAGGTAACTCGAATCTGTACGCATTGCAGGATCTTGGGTCGCAGACCTTGTATGACGAGGTAAGTGGACATCTTTAGTCGTTTCAAGGCTTAGGCTTCGCTGATACGTAGGAACCCAAGGCAATCATCGCCAAACACCTCATTGAAAACTTCTACGGCAGGGAGCCTTCATATTCGTACTGGAATGGTTGTTCCCAAGGAGGTCGTCAAGGTGCGGCACTTGCCCAGCGGTACCCATCGGTCTACGACGGAATCATCGCAGCAGCCCCAGCGATCAACTGGGCCGGGGTCCTCATTAACACCATGTGGCCCAGGGTCTATATGGACGTCACTGAGCAGTATCCTCACCCATGCGAGCTGCAGCAGCTCACTGCGCTTGCTGTGTCTGCTTGCGATGACCTTGATGGAGTTAAGGATGGACTTATCGCCGACACAAACGCCTGCAAGTGCATATTTGATCCTCACGCCTACGTCGGATCAGGGTTCTACTGCCCATTGACGGGAAAATCGGCCAACATCAGCTCCACGGCAGCCGCTGTAGCGAATGCGATGTGGACGGGCCCTTTCACGGCCGAAGGCGAATCAACCTACCTGTATGGTTTGGAAATGGGCACCGATCTAGTGTTTGGTGCTCAAACTAGCTGTACAGAAGATGGGAAGTGTGCTGGAGTTCCCAACGCCGCTGTCACAGTGTTGTTGGCCTACTTTATCGGCAAAGACCCCGCGATCACTACCACAAAAATATCTTTCAAGGAGTTGGAGAGAGCATACCACTCTTTCAGACAACAGTATGATGCTTACCTAGGGACTGATGACCCAGATCTCTCATCTTTCCGCAATGCTGGAGGCAAGATGATCACTTTTCATGGCTTAGTAAGTCTCCGGAGATCATCAACTATTATATACACAGTCCGGACTAATACCACCCAAGGCCGATCCGACTATTCCGCCGAATAACACACTAAACTATTACAAGGAAGTTCTGAATCATCAAGACGATGCGCAAGACTTCTACAGATATTTCCCCGTCCCGGGACTGGGGCACTGTTGGGGAGGCCCTGGTGGCGGCCAGCCCATCGCGTTGTTTGATCAGTTGAGGGCTTGGGTCGAGAACGGGACAACCCCTGAAAGCTCTCCAGTGACCATCACAAAGCCGGACAATACCCATGAGAGGCAGATTATTTGTCCATTCCCAAAGAAGGCAGTATACAACAAGACGGCGGCTGGAGACCTTGTAGGTTGGTCATGCGCTGCATAAATAAGTTAGCGGCCTCGTCAGGATAAAAAGAGTTATGCGAGTACTTTAGCGGGTGGACTTCACATATTGACCTTAGGCTTCAGCTTCCAGACTCTGAACTATCTTGCTGTACATTCCATGTTACTCTCATAGAGACGTGGATTTCCAGATTCTAGCGGACGAAGGCAAAGTAATATACTTGAGTAATCAGCCGCCTGCAAAAAAAGAAAAAAAAAAAGAAAAAAAAAAACACTGCAAACGCTTCCTAAAGCGGTAAATACCCCAAGAGGCCAAGCCACTTAAGGATAGAGGGGGGCGCTACGGTCCACCGAGGCAGTGCTAGACAGGGGAGTTCATAATGCCCCGTAGGGCCTTAATTAGTGACACCCCCCATTGCCCTGCATGGATTTATCCACCATCCTAACTTCAACGCCCCCTTTCCTCACTCTTTCAAGAGAAAAGTCTTCAAGAAGCCTCGATACCCGCTAGTCGTTCACACTTGTCCATCTCGGATGGCAGCTAGATTTGAGAAACATCAACAGTAATGAGCGAACCGGACGCGAAGAGTACAAAACACGGAGATCCTGGCTGTACGTGTACGACGTGCCACATCACAAAGAGGCGATCACACAAGAAGTCCCGTAATGGATGCAAAACTTGCAAACGGAGAAGAATAAAGGTGTGAAATGCGACCTCGAATCTTTGAATTTTATACTGACCCATACACCAGTGTGATGAAGTCAAGCCCCAATGTGGACAATGCTCGAAAGCTATCATAAACTGCGACTTTACCGCTTCAGCCTCATTCACAGACCTTGTCCCAACTCATGACGTTATCGTGGAGAACGTTTCTCATGAAAATTCGCGGAGAAGGGGTAGACCGCGGAAAAAATTGGATACGGCTTCCAAAAGACTTAGTCCCCAAGATCTCTTCGAAGCACCCGATAGTCTGAGATCCAGGTCAACCGAAACAGCTCTCGTAGTCACCCAGAGCGGGGAGCATCAGACACAGGTAGCCTCGGATCTTCCTTGGATATGGACCGTAGATGATCTAGAGTTGCAGCACCACTTCTTGACATCTGACGATCTTACGTATTCAAATTCGCGACTCTGGCGTGAGAAGGTCCCCCGTCTTGCCTTCACCCACCATTACGTCCTACATCTGCTTCTCGCAATCTCTGCACTGCACTTATCCAAGGAGAAAGAGGGCTCTACCGATTCATCTAGATATGAGCAGCTCGCAGATGTTCACTACGCCATAGGCCTACGCCAAGTGATGGCCATTATGCCAACATCAAATAAAGACTATGCTGGAGCACTTTACATATCTACTACGCTTGTTTGTGCATATGCATTCGCAAAGAAGCCCAGCCCAGAACACCTCTTGATAATCTCAGACGGAGAAGAAGTGGCATGGTTCGAGTTGCTTAGGGGCGTTCGAATCGTCGTCACAACAATGGGATGGGACGCTATCTACTCCGGAGTCCTAGGTCCTCGCCCAGGTGCTGATGATGAAAAGTCACTCCCAGAGCGGGGTCCCACGACACGAACAGTTCAATGGGAACCTGCCTTGAGTAGTCTTGCAGACTTGATATCAAGCTCTGGCGATCCAGAAACCTGCATCTACTTGGAAATGGTTCAACGCGTTTCGTCTTGCTTCGAGACCACTTTTGGTACAACTGCGAGGCCAAGGTTTGATTGCAACGGCAAGATGGAGGTCATTATCGGCTGCATCTATGGCATCGATGATGCTTTCGTGCTTTGTCTGAAACACAAGACGCCCTTTGCACTTCTCGTCCTGGCACACTTTGTAGTGCTGCTCAAGTCACTTGAATGGATGTGGTACATAAAGGGGTGGGCAAGTCATATTCTTCACGGCATCGCACTCATTTTAGGGCCTCAATATCGGCAACATTTGCGATGGCCAAGAGAAGAAATTGAGAGGCTTGGCAAGGATCGAGATCATCTCACTAAGGGAGAATCAGTGTAAAGCCATTGTGGGTCTTCGCAGTCTTAATGTTACTGAGAAGCGGGATGATTCTTCTTTTACAAAAAACCCCCGTGACCAGGCACACCTCCTGATATGATTTAGCGCGCAGTTGGTCCAACGTCGAGTCTCCTCAGCTGCAGGAGACCTTTGAAGGCCCCGCTTCGTGACTTGACGAAAGTCCCTGCTTTGCTGCTCAATTCAATAGTTGGAGCGTAAGCGCCGGACTTTGCAAGCCAACTTGGATTTCCCTTGCATGAAAGTGGCTGCCCGGATCGATCCGACCCAGGCATCATATCATTTACTTCAATAATTCAGCCCTGCCAACATATTGTTCCCACATTTGCGCTATCGTGACCATCCAATCATCTCATATTTCCAATTCACCGAAGAGTCCAACATTCTTCGGGGTCCGGCTGAGCCACATTGGCACTTCGCCCCCAACTCAGCTCCGGCCGAACGTCATCTTCAATTGGGTAACTGCCTCGAGATGGTGTGAGCGCCAGCGTGAGTTATGAGGATAAACGGGATCTTTTGATTCCCGAAAGGGTAAAGGCCCCAAGGGCAGACAAGCCTGATGCCTTGACTGTAAGCATGCATTTTTTAGGTGAGATCACTAATTAGAAACTTGACCGCAGAACGACCTTGGGTTGCTGGCAGTCGGTCACCCGGGCTCATGCTGTCGTGAGAATTGGACTAAAATCTTATGTTTCTTACACCCTCGGGCCTGGAATGCAATTTGCAGTTTAGCTTTTTTATAACTCTGAGAACATGACTTAGTCGCCCGAATTTTCCTCCCTAAGTTCATGGCTTGCTGCTTTCGAGTCAACCTTGTTGAAACTTTCAAGTACACATACACTCATTAGATACTCGATCAAAGTCCGAATTCTGCGGAAACCGATCCTCGCCAGGCACTTGTGGCTTCTCCACCCCTTTGCCTTTTGGGTCAAGGCTAAGTGAGGCTCCTTGGCGTTTGGCCGAAACAGCAAAGACTGAAACAGAAACTCAATAGATCCGAGTGATCTGTCTGTCTCATCATATCAAACTAGAAACTTATTTAAAAGGTTCCTAGATCTCTAAGTCATCTGGTATTTTGGTAGCCAAACCGTGCCTCGAAAGCCAAACTTCATTCCAACGACGAACTTTCGACAGCTTGGACGCCACTCAAAGCTCCGAACTATTGTAACACTCAGTTCATCGACGACGAGAGATAGCGGCCTACAATATGAGCCAGACTTCCAGCATTGGGAGGGCGGCAGGACCAATCATGAAGCCCATTCGAGTTGCCGTCATTGGCGCCGGTGCTTCTGGTTTGGTCACAGCCAAGTACCTTCGTCAGGCTAGACAGTACTTCGGCGTACCTGATATCGAGGTCCGGATCTTTGAGAGGGAAGACGGAGTGGGTGGTGTCTACAAATATAAGGTCTACGAAGAAGCCGAGGTATGGCAGCCCACCAATCCTCCCTACCGCCGTACATCATTCAATATGGGAACCTCACTTTGCATAATCATCTTAATCCATTCATAGAGTATGCTAGACAGCTAACAAAAGATGAAAAACCTCCTAGATGGTGTCGTCCAAGTATCTCACAGCGTTCTCGGACTTTCGTGTGTCAAAAGACCTACCTGATTTTCTGCCTGTAGAGGATTACGTTCGCTACCTCGAGGGCTTCTGCACCCAATTTGATCTTTGGGGCATTATCGAGACGAATACGGAGATTGTTCGAGTTTCTCACACAGCCAATGGCCACCGCGTCATTTTTCGCCGATATCAAGGTTTGGAAGTTGCAGAGAGCCAAGCCGGAGAGGAGTCATGGGACTGTGATGCCATCGCCGTCTGCTCCGGTCTTAATAACGTGCCGTCCATCTCATACATCGAAGGTCTTGAGAACTTGAACCATCTCCACTCTTCCGGAGTGAAGGAAAGAACGCAGTTTGGGTTGAATACGTCTGTGATGATCCTTGGAGTTGGGGAAACGGCAATGGATCTAGCCCACCTGGCCGTAACTTCAGAAGCCAGGGAAGTGGTGATGTGTCACAAAGGTGGTTTCTTTTGCGCAAAGAAGGTACCTAGCTGATCTTCTCCTTTGTACTTGCGATTTGCTCGGTATAGCATAGATCAACGCTGATTATCACAGGTTGTCCCTTTACCAGTCGTCATGCAGGTTTGGAAGCCGGATCCTCACCAGAAGCCAGTCGACACAGCAATCGCAAGTTTCCTCGACACGGCATATCTTCCAGAGCGTCTTCAACACTCCAGCCTCCTCTGGAGCGTGTACGACAAGACGTTCAAGGGTCTTCATTACCTCTCTGGCGGGACGGCGGCTGGCCCGGATCAGTGGGTCGGAGAGATTGAGGGTGAACGCAATAACGTTGACTCCTGTGAGTATTTGCCCGAGAGGAGATATTCCCCGCTCTTATGCATGAGTAAGAATAGCCCAAATGAGTCTATGTCTGACTTGCAAAGTGTTTCTGGTCAAGTCCGACCGCGCGCTACCATATCTCAATGAGGGAAATCGGCCACAAGACATTTTCTCTCGCATAAGGGCTTTTGTGATGAATATTGAGTTGAAAAACACGAGTGGCAGAAAGATATTGACGGCACCTTGGCCATTGGCTTTCCGGGACGATGGGACTGTCGTGTTTCCGGACAGCAAGAAGCGTGAGCACATTGAGGCGCTGTCCCAAGTCATCAAGCCCGACTTGGTGGTCTCCGCAACTGGATACGTGCGTCGATTCGATTTCCTGGACGATGATTACCCAAAACCCAATGAGCTGGATGTACGCGGAATCTGGAGGCGCGGAGAGGTGACTGCGGGCTTTATTGGCTTCGTGCGGCCTGGCATTGGTAGGGCCCCGTTGATTGTTGCGGGTGTAAGTGCCGTGCTAACACCATCTATTCAGGAGCTATCCCGCCTCTCGCCGAACTACAAGCCCAGCTATGGGTTCTCAATCTCCTCCGGCACAGGTACCCTCAACAGATGGCTCTGCATCCTCCTGATGCCAGCCAAGTAGAGTCTCACGGTGATGCTATTCCTCACTATGAGATCGACTACGCTCTCAAGGCTCGAGGCGGACATGACTTGTTCAAGAGCAAGCACGGTGTTGAACAGGAATCCTACGCATATCAGCTTGCTCTTGACATGGGTAGCGCGCCGACCTTTTCATTTATGAAGCGTCAGGGGTTTAAAGCATTCTACACATGGGCAATGGGATCAAACTTTAACACCAAATTTCGTCTCATTGGTCCATGGAGATGGACAAAGGGCGCGCTGCCTATCATGCGCGGCGAGCTGTTTGATGTTGTCAAGCAAACAGGGGGTGGTGTTTGTAAGTTGGTATCTCAGGCTTCGTGTGGTGATGCTTTGAAGCCCCTTGCTAATCAATACTCGTTCTCAGTCTTTTCGACGTACACGCTTCTACCTCTCGTGCTATTCGGTTCCCTGACTCTCCTTCTCCATGCCACAGCAGGTATTTTAAGGCTGGTCGGGATGAAAGAACGGGCCAACAGAATGCTCGGTACAGGGAACATTCCACGTCGAGAGGGGGATAACCTCTGAGAAACGGAGGACAGTAGTTAGTCCGCAGCACGCACCAGATAATGGTCAGACGGAGCAGGATCGGGAAATGTGTTACTTTTGTTACTTTGAATAAACACGGAAGGCTTTGGTGAGAGATGGGCTCGCTTGATTGCAAGATAGGTACCTTAGTATGTCGGATTTGATAACTTGGGTTGATGAAGTTCCCCTCGCAGTGAGCGCTACTGAGCTGAAATTACAGGGGCTTCGTTCTGATGTTCCAGCGGCTGGTTGATCAAGTGCCCCGCGCGGGGTACCTGGACGGCCCGTTATACCTAGTCCCTTGGAGGCTGATACCAAGCCGTTGATTGGAGGCGACCGAGTTTCCCGATAACGATAAGGTCGCCAATTGACGCTTCGCCCATAAACATTTTTTTTCTCTCGCGACAGCTTCGCTCGGACGACATCTTTAGCCTGGTAAAGCCTACCCAGTCGCAACCATGCACCACCTCGTCCAACCGCACCAATGGGTATCTCTGAAGCTGCTTTCGGAAGATACGAAGGTGCTACAGATTGTACCTAATACGTGGGTTCATCAAGGAGACAACGGGTGTGTGACGACAGCTAACTCTTCTTCTTTTTCCTTCCAGCACGATTTCACTGGGCAAACTCGGCTCGTTCCCTAGCAACCTGATCATTGAGCGGCCATTTCACATCACCTACGAGATCCAAGATAGACGGGATGGCGAGAACTTTAACAGATTGCGAGTCGTCCCTACGAGCGAGATCCACGCCGACGCTCTGGCCGACCTGAACGCCCAGAACGCCGAGGAGGAGGGCACCACTCTCGAGAATGTCATTGCCGCCCCCGATGGCGCAGAGTTCGAACTAGTCGACCAGAAAAGCGGCAATGTCGTTGCCCACTCACGACGCGAGATTATCGACGACGCTGCCCGCCAGACCTTGACCGCCGAGGAGATTGAGCAGCTAAAGCAGGGCAACACAGACGCCGGCAAGGAGATTATCGCGAAGCTACTGCTGTCGCACACCGCCATTGACCAGAAGACAGCCTTCTCCCTCGCCAAGTACAAGTTGCTCAAGACCAAGAAGTACATTCGACGCTTCATGATACAACCGCTTGACCCTCTGACGCTGGGCAAGTGGCTCTTGGAAGAGAAGGATGCAGGAAAGGTGTTGGAGATGAGGGAGGAGATGGTAGGGCTCTTGAACTCCTGGGCCAACGTTCACTTCGGCGGCATATCCCCCACGGACAAGCCCGAGACTGTGACGATCGATGGGTCTGGCATGTTGGACAAGTCCGAGATTGGAGGTCGCTGGCTTGTGGTGGAGGATACTGGAGGACTCGTTACCGCTGCCATGGCCGAGCGGATGGGCATACTATACCCCAAGGACCCCGAAGACGTCCAAGAAGTGGAGGACGCTACAGATGTTGTCAAGGAAGAAGCGAATGGGGTCAAGTCAGCTGAGAACACCACCGCCCTCATGAACGACGCCGCGACAGAACAGACAGAGGAGACAAGTACAGAGACTGCAGCACAAGACTCGACAACAAAGCCCGAAGAGGCCACAGCTGATGCGGCAATGACAAACAATGGCGAGACGACAAAGCCGCAACAACCTCGGCGAAGACATCCGCCCCGTCGCGACGACTTTGAAGCCATGTTTGCCCCTACCAACACCTTGACGCTAATCCACCCCAATAGCCAGCCGAACCTCGCCCTCCTCAAATACTACAACTTTGACAGCACAAATCCAAACCCGCCTTACCCGCTTCACCCCCTCGCTACCAACCTATTGCCCATTTCATGGCTGCAGCTTTTGGAGCCCGAGGAGGATGTCACATACTCGACACCGCCCCCTGAGGTCTCGGACGAGGAGCTGCACTCATGGAAGGCTAACCGGCGCGGTAACTACCACCGGAAGCGAAGACGCTGGGCAAGAACCCGCTACATTGTGGACTCGACGCGCGCTGGTGGGTTTTCCGGTCTCGTCATCGCCAGCACGATGGACACGGTGTCCATCCTCCGTCACACCTTGCCGCTCCTGGCCGGTGGAGCGCCGATTGCCGTCTACTCGCAAAGCATCGAGCCGTTGACGGAACTGGCCGATTGCTTCAGTATTGCCCGCCGCGCAGGCTGGTCCTCAAATCCTCCGGCCGAGGCAGCTGGCAAGTCTGTCCAGGAGTTGGAGCGATGGGAGGGCTCAGACGATTTTCCCATCAACCCGACTCTGCTGTTGGGCACCAATGTCCAGACGAGTCGCGCGAAGCGCTGGCAAGTTCTGCCCGGCCGCACGCACCCCATGATGATGGGGCGGGGCGGGGCGGATGGCTACGTTTTTACGGGTTGGAAGGCAGTGCCGGCGGAGGGTAAGGTCGAGGCCAGAGGCAAGTTCAAGAGGAGAAAGGTTGAAGCATGAACAAAGCGAGCAAGTACGGACACTGAAGAGACATTGGCGCACCATCGGGTGGTGGTCCAAAGGGAAGACGAAAGAGAAAGGAGACCCTCGGGCATCAGAAGGCTTGCGTATAGATACCCTAGCATCCTCCTATTGAAGCTTATCAAGCTGTAATTGGAGTAATTGGCATCATCATATTGATCTGGCCTATGCGCTCAAACATTTTTTCCAATCAAGGTATTCCCTTGTCTCTGGCGATTCTTGTTCTTCGACGACCCGCATCACAACGCCTTGCCCATGAACTTTCTCTTAGTGAAGCTCAGCCACCATTTGCTCGGCTTTCCATCGCCGCCTTCTTCGTACACACGTGCTAGTAGCCGGACTGCCAGCTCTTGGCGGACCTGGGACATGTACTGGCGTAGTTGCTCGGCGTCTTGTCTATCGCGCGGGGGTTCGTACATCTACATCAACTGTCAATCTCAAGAGATACCACTAGACCTCGGAAGGCTGTCATACCTGGTTTAAGGGCCATGCCGGGTCGCCGGGGATGGCGAAGTTGGTATCGAGGGCCACGTTCATGACATCCTTGGAAGCGTCACGCACGCCAGCGCTAGGCTTGATCTTGGTCAGACAGTCGCTGACGAACCAGATGCCGTAGACCAGAAGGCGGTCAGCGGGGCCCTGAAGCTCAAAGTTGCGGAAGAAGGTGTTGGCGCGGAATAGGGCGAGGACCTCGTCGAGGATGTCGTAGCTTTCGCTGTCTGGGTCGGGAGACTCATTGGCGGGCAGAGGCGGGTTGGGGAAGGGAAGAGTATAGGCCGGGCCGCGGGTCTTTGTGCGCAGGGGCAGCAGCGGAAAGTTGCCTATTGTGCGAGGGACGTTCGGGTCGGCATTGAACATGGAATTGTAGGCCTGGTTAGAGGTCATCGTCAGCTCGGGTTGGGGGAGTAGGTTGAATTGGGCGGGCTGTGCCAGAGCCCCAGAGGCAGAGGCAGAGAGAGCCCAGGCAAGCTATGGGATGAGCATTACATAGACATACCGGCATCTTGAAAAATAAACCTGACCGAGCGATCGGTTTCGAAGAATGTGAAGCTGGTCTTGATGAGGATTGGTCGCAAATGCAATTGGGAGACGTCAACTGCTCTGGAGATGGAGAGCAAGCGGCCGGTGGTGGGGCGCGATACTTAGCTGACGGGAGCGACTGACGTCCACCTCACACTTCCACTCTCCGAATGGACCTTGTGGCTCCTGAGGCTTGACGGTACCTTGCGACTGTGCTCCAGCCTCATGCTCGATGGTGGGGTTGAAGATGTGAGGCGCAGCACTTGACTTCCATCATTCTACGCACGTGCCTTTGGGCTAAGGTAGAGAGGTAGTACCTAGAAAGGCACGAAGAGTCACGGGAATAAAAGTCACGAGTTTGGGTGAATGCTTGATGACTCAGGCATTATCGAGGCCAAGCGCAGCCACAAAATCAATGACATGGTTCATGCCCACTGTATATCGCTGAAGGGGGCTGGTGCCTAGGATCACATGACTTCGCACTCACCGCGTGTCGCAGTTTCCCGGTTGCAAGCGGGCCAAGAGCACCAGGCAGTGGCAAGTCGCGCCGTTCCTTCCCCCCAAAGAGGTGTGAAGCCGAAAAAGTGCGCGTGTTCTGGCCCTTTTGGTGGCCGAGGCTTGCAGGTTGGCGGTGGAAGAGGAAGGAGAAGTTGGAGTCGTGGGTGGACATTGAGCAGGCAGGCCGCAGACACGGGCAGGCAGGCACCATCGCGATGGGGATGGCAATTGGGAAGGCACTGACAAAACGGAAAGTCGTGACGGGTCAATGAGTCTGCACCTGCCCAGTTTTTGCCGCCACACCACGGTGACCACACTGGATTCTGTCGGCCCTGTCTACTTACCTACTGTGTATAGGTAACTACCGTCTGGCTGCTCTAGGGGACACACACACACACGCACACATACGAAAAGTGACAGCGCAACAAACAGGAAAATCGATGAACAAAAGTTGGAATATTTGACTCGCGCACCCGCGTTTCACTGCCCCTCCCTTTTCTCACCCTTGGTCCTGTTGCTCTCTTTCTCTTCGGCCCTACTCTCCAAGTCTCGTCTCTCTCTCTCTCTCTCTCTCTTTCTCTCCACCGGGCGCGTCTTATCCAGCACCAACAAGTCCCTTTTTGTCTGCGGAGGACCGTCCTCTGAATATCCCGAAATCCCTCCCGTATCCTTTCTTTTTCCTCTGCCTCGTGAGCCGATAGCGACGCTTAAGCCTCAAACCCTTGAAAGCACCGTCGATCTCAACAGATTCCAGACAAATCGGTACCCAGCCATAGAGCACCACTTCTCTGACCGTACATCAAACTGCATACGGATATTCTCCGATCTCTCTGCGGATCCGGATCCTCTTTTCTCTCACTCAACACCGCGTCGCGCACCCAGTTGCGCCGACTGCTGTCCGCCTCACCGAGTCCATCACAAAATCCACCGGCCATCATCCTCCACCATTCCACACCCCCAAAGCAAAAGAAGGGGCCATACTACCATCATCTCCCCGTCGCGTCGGTGCCCCAAGGCCCCAAGCTCAAGGTTCACTCGGACACCGGGCCCACGGCGCAACGCAAAGGCCCCCCCCCCTAAAAACCCATACTACGTGTAGAAAGACGCAAAGGGAGAGCGCCACAACCCGATGCTCATTTTAGAGTGAGACCCCCCAATCACTATTCCCTTATTGTCATGACCTCGTTGTTTTCCTTCCATCCACCTCGTGCCCTCCTACCCAATAATAAATCCTGCCTTCATTCCTCTTCACCTAGACCCGAATCATGTTGACAAAACCACAGATCGGTATTCAATAGCACCAGTTTCGCACGACAAGTGCGCAACTTCTTCGACTCCTCCACCGCCAATATGCATCTCCCCAGCAGCGCCCCGACGGCTTCGTCAATGTCCTCGCCCGAGCCCATTCACGCGACGCCCCCGACTTCGAGTCCTATTCCTGCCATGCCCTCCCCCGCAAAACGCAAAAGAAGACTTCGTGTCTTCAGGCCAGACGAAGGCTCCCTCTACGACCAAATGTGGGATCACGCTGGACTCTCCCTCTTCGTTCGTCCCATCTGCTGGACCGAGCTCCACGTCCAACTCCTCGATGCCAAGTTCGTTGAGCTCCCTCCATGCGACACGCCAGTACCCCCTCCTTCACCACGCGGCGCACCCGTCTCCCCATCGAAATGTCACATGAAGCCATCAATTGCGGCCTCGACACTTAGCAGAGAACTTACGGCCATGCTCGCGCCCGGCTCCACGAGAACCTTCTATACAAATTCCGTCCGCACAATCATGTCCACCCTCTACCCCGGGAAGCTGTCGCGCAGCCGAACACAGCTTGATTTGCACCTATACTTTGGCGGTCTAGTGTATCGCGATGCCTGTCGCGTACAGGTTGCTTGGGACGCGGTGCCCTCGCGCAGCGGCTCGATCGCCTCGTTTGAATCCGCGTCAACGCGCCCAGCCGATTCCTTTACTGTTGTGCCGACGGGTTCTAACGGTAGCGCAAGCAACATGAGCGGCGAACAAACGGGTTACGTTCAGTCGCAGCCTGTCCTCGCTTACGTTGGCAAGATGCAGATCGCGGCGACACGAAAGAACATGTACCGCGTGATTCAAGGACCCAACAGATCGTACAACGGGCCGGTCGAACGTCTACAACAGTTGCGCTCCAAAATGTTTGTTCCCAGCAACCCGACGCATGACCCGTTGCTCGTGGGCATCATGTTGGCTATGGCGCAGAGAAGGTTTCACGGCGAGCCACGGCCGTCAGCGAATAAGTGGGTTCCCTCACGGCCCATGCCTACGGGACTAGGAGAGCCTGAATTTCACGATGTGGCGATACAGCTACTCACAAATGACAATGAGACATCCGAGTTCATCGTTTACAAGGCCACGGTCACGGCAGATCTGCTTCGCAAGTTCCACGAGCCAACCAAGAACCCTCGTAAGGGGGTCGAAAAGACATTTGCTGAGAGAATTGGAGAGGTCGCATCCGAGGGTGGCATGCGCATTGAGTACACAAGAGTGCCTGTCTGGCCGATCCTCGGACTCAAGGAGAGATTGGGCAAGGCGCTCGGCAAGGACGTTGTGGGAGAGTTCGATGAGGACAACATCGAGACATGGGAGGAGGAAGCGGAGCGAAATCCCGACAAGCTCAAGCGACGAAGAGATCGCGAGGCCCTCGTCGAAGTGTTTAACGGCAGCTTCGAGGAAGAGGCCCCGGCCGACGGTATGCCTCTCAGTGGGAAACGAAGATGTTTAGTTGACGAGGAAAGCGGGCAGGTGGGCATGGTAGTCTGATGGAAGTTAACTGCCCTTGATCATTGCATAACGAAGCCACGAGGCGTTTTTTGAGAGAAGCATTCATCGCATTTCTCCGAGGTCGCTACGGATGCGGCCACGGTGTGGGAACCAGGAATTTGGCTCTGTTCATCGAGTAAATGGAGTTGTGGGATCAGCGGAGAGAATCATGACTGATTCTTGACACGGATAGACGAGACGCATTTTAAACCCGGCAACGGTCAGAAGCACAAGGGTGTTTGATTTTCTTATTCCCTCCGAGAGATCCAAGTAAGAAGGGACACATTTGCGATTTTCTTCGAACGGTTGCATGGGTTGTTTAAGTAGGCATTAAGATGTAAGACTTACGTTAGATTCCCCGACACAAGCGAAGAGTCCAGTCGACTCAGCCAGTGTCTGCGATCAGTGCTTTGCAATGAAATTAGTTCTCGAAGATACGACGTTATGTTGTCTGGCGATCATGATATTATCCAAAACATCGACAAGGAGAGCGCCACGGCTTTCCAGAGCAAGGTACGATATCAAAGCAATACACTACAAAAGGTCCCTAGTGATGAATTTAGGTAATGCAACCAAGACCGCAACTTGAAAGGCGTATCATCGCGTCAACTCTTTTGTTCTCGCGCAGTACTGGAGGTAGCAATGCCCACTCGATCCACCTGAGTAGCGGCATCACTGTCTCATTCGGTACCACAGTCTGACAGTCTTTACCTGCTCACAACCTCGGAATGTGTGTCAACGCCAACCTCCTCCGGGCCGCCGACACACAGCGGACGCTGCTGGGCGCCGAGCCAAACACTTTCTTTTTTCCCTGTCACTGCAGGTTAGTTCCCCCACACCTTTTACATTAGCCCAGGGTTATTAGATCCTTGACACCTTCACGTGCTAGTAAACCAGAAAAACTCACGACAAGACGAGTCTGAGCTCACACTCGACTTGGGGCGATATGTCAAGATTGGATCAAGAAGCAGGAAGCACAGCATAATGCGAGCGGGCTCCGAGACCGCGTTTTGCGTGTACGAAATAAGGAGAGAACTGAAGAAAAGATGAAGAAAAGAGATTAAACTCCTTTCCTTCGTCGACCGAGATGACTTTCTCCCGGGTTTGCCTCAACCCATAAGTATCGCTCACCTTGTTACACATGGCTAAATTTCCTTTCAACCACCTTTGCCAAACTGCCGCTCTATTGCTTTCCCTCTGTCTCTCTCTCTCCCTTCTTCTCTCTACGCTCTCTTACAGACATCTAGAACACGATGGAGATTTCTCTGAAACCAGCCTTGGCTATCATTCTCTTCCTAGCTGGTCAGTCAGCAGGCAACTCTGAGCAACACCACCATGAACCTCGTGCTGCTGCGGCGGAAGTAGAGACGCCGGCCGGTACATTCAAGGGACGATCGTTCGGCTCCGTCGATACTTTCTCTGGCATCCCCTATGCGAAACCGCCCACCGGACCGCTCCGTTTAAGACCGCCTCAGAGACTCAACTCCTCTTTGGGCAACTTTGACGCCACAGGAACCGCCGCCGCATGCCCTCAGTTTCTCTTGTCTACCGACAGCCGGAACATTCTTCTCGATATCGTTGGCTCATTCCTTACGCTTCCGTTCTTCCAGCCTATCACCGGCCAAGAAGACTGCCTGACGGTGACTGTCCAGCGTCCTTCTGGCACCCCGTCCGATGCGATGCTTCCAGTCTTATTTTGGATATTTGGGGGTGGCTTCGAGTTCGGGTCGACATCTACATACAGCGGGGCAAGCTTCGTCCGTGATGGGGCCGACATGGACCGACCCTTCATCTTTGTTGCTGTTAACTATCGGCTGGGAGGTTTTGGGTTCTTGCCTGGTCGTGAAATCCTGAAAGATGGCTCAGCCAACTTGGGACTATTGGATCAACGTCAGGCTTTAGAATGGGTTGCCGATAATATCGCTGCCTTTGGAGGTGACCCTGACAAGGTGACAGTCTGGGGAGAATCAGCGGGTGCGATATCCGTTTTCGACCAGATGGCGCTGTACAATGGCAACAACTCCTATCAGGGTCGACGGCTGTTTCGAGGTGCCATCATGAACTCTGGCAGTGTTATCCCAGCTGACCCAGTCGACTGCCCCAAAGGTCAGAAAGTCTACGATGCTGTTGTAAAGGCAGCCGGTTGTCAAGGATCAGCGAGTACTTTGGATTGCCTGCGCAGTGTCGATTACGAGACTTACATGCGTGCCGCAACGGCGGTGCCCGGCATCCTTTCATACGAAGCTCTTGCTCTGTCATATGTCCCTAGACCAGATGGCACAGCACTGGTAGACAGACCCGATATTATCGCAAAAGAAGGACGATACGCTGCAGTGCCTATGATCATCGGCAACCAAGAAGACGAGGGTACACTGTTCGCACTATTCCAGCCTCTGGTGTTGACAGCGTCACAACTCGTTAACTACCTCTCAGAGCTCTACTTTCACAACGCTTCGACAGCGCAATTGACCACCCTCGTCAATACATATGACCACCATATCTCTGCAGGAAGTCCCTTTCGTACAGGGATCTTCAACGAGATCGTTCCTGGCTTCAAGCGCAGGGCTGCCATCCTTGGGGATCTCGTCTTCACTCTAGCACGCCGCTCGTTTCTATCTGTTGCTAAAGCAAAGCATCCGGAAGTCCCAGCTTGGTCGTATTTGAGCAGCTACAACCACGGAACTCCCGTACTCGGTACGTTCCACGCTTCAGACATACTGCAAGTCTTTCTCGGAATCTTCCCTACCTTTGCACGACAAAGCACCCGGACTTACTATCTCAACTTCCTTTACAACTTGGATCCTAATGTCGGACTGGGCGGTTACGCGCAATGGCCGGAATGGAGTCAGGATCAGCAACTACTCTGGTTTCTGAACGGTCGAACAGACTACCTCAAAGATGACTTTCGAAACGAAAGTTACAGGTTCATATATCGCAACATGCAGTCCCTAAATTTCAGGGATGATTCGGGTTTGCTGCCGCCGTGGTCCCTTTGATACGCTGTTTGTTCACGAGCAGCACGCATGGTGTCAGGCACAAGAGGGGTTGTCGGCTGTTTGTTCTTCTTTGACAGGATTCTTCTATCGAAAGTGAAAGGGGTATTGCCAACGCTAAACTATGTACGTAAATGAAGATATGTGTCCGGACAATAACTGTTGACTGGGTCTGGCTCTGGCGACCCCAACATGATTTGCTATGAAGCTGTGTTAATGGACGAGTTGGAAAGTTGAGTAGGCAGCATACCTTTGAAAAGACATCGGCCTGACGGATGCCCATCTCCTCTGCAATCTTTGCAAGACGGGCTTTGACGTACATTCGTTGCTTTCTGGTCGCAAATCGACTCGATCCAGTAGCTAGCAAGGGCCACATACAAGACACACCAGCTAGGCCTTTTGGCATCTCGGATGTCCCGCATGGGAAGTAGGGGGTACTCAGAGCATCCCCGGTCCACCCGAAGAAATACGGAGTGCTCGAGATAATATCCGCCACTTGCTCAATTCCGATCCGATTCGCGTCAATATACTCTTTCGTCAGAGTATGATCACTAGGTGCGCAGACCCATGCGATGCAACGGACAATGACCTGGTTGAGAAGAAGTCGAGATACGTGGGTGTTGATGTGCTTGCCGGCTGCCCATACGTTGGGGTAATCGTAAATAGGTCCAGGAAACGCCGAAACATAGCCGATCTTGTCCTCTGGAACTTCCGCAGCCGAACCTGAAATAACCTTTCTCCATGCTGGCGGGCACTTGTCAAACCAAACACCGAGATCGTCGTCCATTTTCCGTGCCCTCTGCAAAAGCTTCAAAGCTTTGTCGATCTTATCGGTGGTTCGTGCTCCCTTTAGAAGACTGTCGGCCTCGCCACGGATGAGCGTCGTCTGAAGGTTCAATACCAAAGCTTGGTGGCCAACAGTGTCGCAGACGGCTTGCCGTGCCCACCAAGTCAAATCTTCCAAGGAAATATTTGCAAAGAAGGTGTACTGCCGGACCTGTTTCGCGAGTAAGATCATCGGTTTTTGACACAACCTTTTGCTTGTAAGAGTAGGACGTACCGATGTTGCCCGAACAAATTCAAACATGCTCAAGCCAACGCCAGACGCAGTCTGTTGCGGTCCACGTAGCTTGACTATTGCAGTCGCCCCAGAGATGTGCTTCTTGAAACCAGACATTTCAACGTCGTCTGAGACCAGTCCTTCATAAAAGGCCAAGAGAATTGCAGAGGCAAGCGTGGTGTCCTGCCTCACAGCGATCTTGTCTTGCATAGCTCGAGTCAAGTCCTCTAATGCCTTGCTATAGTGTAGGTGAGCCATCGAAGACAACCGTCTTGAATTTGGCCTGCCAGCCAGAGCGGCCATTGATACAGCCGAAAAAGCGGACTGCAAAGGAGACGCTTGATAGCTGGGCATATTCAGTAGGGGTAGTACAAATGTGAGAATCCCTCTGCCAACTCCCGTTGGAGGAGCAAGCACGTAGTTTGCCAAAAAGTAACATGTCGCTTGTTGGTCGAGAGGTGTCTGCAATGTGTGTGGCATGCCATAAGTCCCCCCTTCAATGTCTTTGAATGACACAAATGTATCGGGCGCCTGATTGCTGATGTACGACAAAGAAGAGGCGTATGACATTGAAGGCGACGCTTCAGAAGAAGATGAATTTGAGTATCTATCAAACCAGTCGTCTTCTGTGATCGGAATGATTTGTTGTTTTCGTGGAGGTGGTGCTGCTGGTGGTGTCCATTCCATCACTTGTGGTTGGGTTTGGCATTCGTTTTCTGCATCCTGTTCCGTCGCGCGACCCTCTCGAATAGCCTTGCGCAACGCAGCCGACTTGGCCTTGCGGATGGTGGATTGAGTCTCATCGCGAAGGTTGATCTCGAATGCATCCCGATAGCCTGGGCAGGTTCTTTTCGACTTGGCGCATTTGAGGCAGAAGGGCTTCGTCTCGTCACATTTGATCCTCCTGGCGCGGCAGAGCTTGCATGCCCTGCTCGGGTGACCCGTATTGACCATCTTTTGAAGTAAAGAGAATCTGATGGTACGGTAGTACTGCTTTCCTTTCCTCGAATAGGTAGTATATTCTATGCGCGAGATCCACGGCCAGTTGACGGTTCAAGTTTCGACGGGATTTGTGTCATGTGGGCGAAACCCCCTATCAAAGTAGGAAATTCGAGGAGGAATGAGAGGAGCGGACGTGCTTCCCTTAGACATAAAAGGAAAATGGGCAGACAGAACCGGACTCGTGTCAGACGCGGCCGAGGGCGGCTGCTGGTGAACCTCGAGAACAGACTATTAGCCGTTGACGCAAGATGGAAGAAGCCGCACAAGGAAGTTGATATGTTTCAACTCTAAAACTTGCCCCGCTTGCTTTGGTGACATTCAGCAGCGCCGCCAGTTACAAGGCATCTAGCTCAGAAGATGACGTTACGAGTCAGGGTTGGAGAGGATGGACAATAGTATAATTGGAGACGGAGAACGATGCTTTGTTCAATCGATGTCAGCCGCTTTTGGGGAAAGGGTGGCCTATTGCACAAGTCTGTTCGGCCAACCGTCAAACCCGACAGCTCAACCTTGGATAGAACCTGTCAGCACATTTCGGCATGCCTCCCCGTCGGCGGCTTGAGCGAGTGCGAATTGTTGCTGTAAAGATGCGCAGCAGCGACATCAGACGAAACGGTTAGCCCAAGCGTCGCTACAACTGAAGTAGTGAAACCGGAACTCCATGCGAAGACGACTGGATTTTCTGAAACCTAGTCATCTATCATTCGACGCATGAAGGTACCCAAACAGGTCTGGCGCTGTTCTTGTCCCCATCTTCTAGAAGCCTGCCAGGTTTAGACAAAGGCCATCTCGGCAGCTCAGAGCACCCTCTCTCAGTTGAAAAGTCTTCAAATGATGGTCATTGAGAGGGTTTGGCCGGAAATCATGGAATCACACAAAGTCCCGTTCTAATTGGGTGTCTTATCGCTTCTTGCTTGCCTAAGCTGCCAGTCACTGTCATCTTACGGACCTGTGCAATTTGTATAGGATTTGATCGCCTAGGACTTGACTGGCGAAATGACACCATTAAGACAATTACTGGGCTTAGTCTGAAGTGTTGAGGGTTAGAGCTGGAGTTAGAGCTCTATCTAGTCCCAAAACGGGGAAATTCACCCATCTGACGAAGATAATAACCCAGAAGAAGAGAACCGTCGGATGATTTGGGGACAGAGGCTCTATGTACTGCCCACGCTGCCCCAAATACGGCTCACATGTCATGGTCTTTTCTCGGCATTCTCGTACAAGACCCGACAGATGCAAGAGCGCTCCTTTCGCTCTCAGGGACATCTTCCTAGTCACTGCAATCTTGGCAGGCTGGAGCCGTCGTCTGATGAACCAAACTGATGCGTTCACCCGCGTGTCTGGTTTCTTTCCTCAACTGACATGACGTGACAGCCTGCACAGGATCGTCGGTTTCGGTATTTCTCTCTGTGATTGCCGAACTGAGTCTGTGATGAGAATCCGAGTTGGTGGAATACCTCCAAGGGTGGTGTTCTGCCAGGCTGTCGGATTCTCATCCCAACGTACTTCCATCAATTGCCATGCCAGAACTTGTCTGTCTGTCTCTCTCTCTCTCTCTCTCTCTCTCTCTCTTTTTACGAAAATGACTGCAGTCGGGTCCCTCTGAGGGAATCGATCATGAACGAAAGAAGTGATTGATGCGGTGATTGACGCTGTAATTGACGAGAACGCATGTTTTAAGTGTCATCCGACTGAATCACCAAGACTCCCAGCCGGCGATGCGCGATGCATTGGGCTTGCGTATCTTCATCGCCTGGCTCCAACGATCGCCGTTGCATTCCAGCCCGGTTCTCCTCAGAGATGCGGCACCATTGCCATAAGATACATTCAGGTGGCTATATACCGACGATACCAGCCAACCTATGGAATTCTCCGAAGCCGCATGCCAGAACCTAGAGTCCTGCTGCACATATGATAGCAGATATTTCTTTGCATGGATCAAGCGGCAATGTTCGTTTCCTTCTACGCGCATTCAGCCGTTGCCAGCTAAGTGAGGTGAGGAAATGGCGGGGACGAGACAATCGAATGAGCTTCGTCAAGTCAGACATCGGCATATGAATCGTGCTGACTCGAAGGCTTTGTGCCATAGCAAATGACTGATTAGTTGCCGTAAAAATGGCAGAATCCAGTACAACATACTGGTCGGCCTGTGGAATCTCTTACTGATCCTCAGTGTCGTCCTTAAGTGGGATCTTCCGTCTGTCTACTTTGCAAAGCCCGATCACTCGAGTATCAGATGCCTGTTGTCGAAACCCGAGTCTCACGGAGTGAAGGACGCAGTGAGCCGCCCCATTCGTAGCTGCTGTGGGCGGAATTCGGATCAGAAGAACGGACCTGCGATCGGCCGACAGCCCACGCAACTGGTAGACGTTGAGCACTGACATCGTGTATAGTTTTCCCCAGGAAGAACCAAGTGAAGACGCGATATAGCCGCGGGGACTTTTTCGTCGAAAGGCCCGGGATGTGGGTGGGGACTGGGATAGGCCTCGAAATCCAGCAGTGCCGGATAGGGTCTTCTTTTCTTGAGTTTTGCAGGTAGCTTCCCACCGGCAGTCGTATCAGCTCAGATTTCAACTCACGTCGCTGAGTCCTGACGTGCACAGTGTTCAACGCTGGGTTCCTTGCCCGCGGGCACACTGAGCCCATGGAAACAAGACCTTCGGCGTTCAAGCACGTAAAGTATGCACTGCCCTGTATTCGTACCAAATCCGAATCCCAACCCCGTTATCCGCGGCTCTGGAAACATTTTAAAGTATCGCAGTACGAAACTAACAGGGGCTGCCGTGCGGCGTATGTCAGGGTCAGGGGGACTTAATGGACGATCATATAGCTGAGTAGCCTCCGCCTAGTCCACGTGTATCCGTACAATCAAGCGTTTTCCTTACCGGCAGTTGGTGCAAAGGCCACATCGCGATCTGCAGCCGGCACGATTTAAGCTTGATGCTGGCTCAAGGCAGATCGACGCAGGCATGGTGTCGCGATCCTAATGACAGCGGACAGGGCCATCGACTCCCGTCCTGGTGGAAGTTGCTGGATGACCAAGACCAATGCCGTCTAGTTATTCAACTCCCCGGCTGCAAGACCGGCTATGCGGCCGAGTTGCATTCCAGACATCTCCGGAGCCTCCATGAGTCTTGATGACCACCCTCCCACGCTAAAGCTTTACGGGGGCCGGGAAGATCATTGAGGCCGATGCGCCTGTCAACCATCACGGCCAGTAGCAGACGCTGTCAAGCAGAAAAGCTTCTCTCGCGAGCTCAGACATCTTGACACGGCACACCTACAGGATAGACACCTGTCTGAATAAACTCTTTTCATATCCACACACTGATCAGTGCTCCAAGTCTCTGGCTCTGTCGAGCGTGTGCGCCGAGCTCACCTCAACCTGATACATGGAAACTGCTCGTTGGAAGATAGACCCGTGAGGTGATACATTGCTCATGTTTCTTAATCGAAAAAGCGATTAAGAAACATGAGCAATGTATCCGGAAGTCATGGATAGATAGTATTAAAGTTACTACGATAGTGCGCATGGAGGAGATCCAGGCAAGGGTTCACTCCTTACAGCCGGTCCGAAAGCTCGGGGGAGGAAAATCAGCCGCAGCATCAGGTCGGATTCGCATTGCTCGCATCTTCCAACGGCGAAGAGTAGGAAAATGACGAGATGATTAACAGCAGAGACATTCTTTGACAGCCAGTTGCCTTATTGGGCCGATAGACCCGTCAGAATGGGTCACAATTGGTTATGTGACTTGGGGTGCGAACAGACAGCCCAGGTGGGCTGGACGCGTACAAGAGACAGGCAACGACAGCAAAAGACAGGCAGCAACAGGCAAGACAGTTATAAAAGACGGGATGAAAAGGTCATCTTCTCTACTGAATTGCCTAGTTGGGGGCACCTTTTTGCGATGAGAGCACCGCCTTCTCGTCCCAAAAGGGAAATGGTTCGCTGTTCCCCAACGGCGTCTGAAACGAATTCCCTCCTACCACTTGCCCTCTGGGGCAAGTGAATGGAAAGTCTACAAACACACCTCATCACTATTCTAATACCGGCCCGCTGCTGAAGACTCGTCTAGCGTCGCAGCGACCTAGTTGTGAGTGCTCGGGAAAGGAGTCTGCAGAAGGGAAGAGCAGGAGAAAGGGGCGAGGAGGATGGAGCGCGAAGAGAGTATGGTTGGGATGAGATGCGGCAACATTGATTCTAATAAGGGTCTCACTGGCACCAAATATCCTTTCTAACTCCTTCTTCTCTTTTTTCGAAAAAGAAAACGAGGAAAAGTGCCACATCGTTGAACGAAGAGACACCACACTAAATCAAGGTACCCAAGCAATTCTTTTCCTGCTTCTGAATAGTTGAATACCCCGTGGACAAATCACAAGTAATGCACATATCGAGTACGATCATCCAACACAGTCTTCCGTCATAGCCAATACGTCTCAGAGAATCGAAAGGCCGGACTTTCTGCCATTGACGGCCCCGATCTGCGTACGCCTCGCCTTTGGCCGTCGTCTGCCTTGCTGCCCTACTGCCCTATCTGGGCATACCCATCGCGGCACTCTTCAAGTCCGGAATTACGCAACACGTCGTCAGCCGGTCATAACGCAGACTGTCCACTGCCTTGGTCAGCTTACTACTACTAGGACGCCCGCTTGCCTATTCCATACATGCACTTCGTCACTACATGAGCCGCAATGCAACCTTGGAGTCTGTCCTCCTCAACCATTGACTCAAGTCCGTATACGGCTTCTTACACATAGGGACTCACCTGAGACTCTCCACCCGCATTGGGTTGTTTCCTGTATGGTCTATCTTCCGCTTGCAACATCTCTTAAAGCTGGTTGTATCCACAAGCCGACGTCCCGTCCGTACCCTTGACCCGGCAGGCCGCAGGGTCTCGACGAAAAGAGGCAGCGCACTTCACTTCTAAAAGCAGTCATGGCCAGTCTTGCTGGATTTCTGTCTGCCGCCACTCCCCTCATATCTCTCAACTTCGTTGCCACAGAGGGAGTTGTCAAGGCGGCACAGGCTTCTACATCACCAGCACTCCAACTGGCACAAGTGGCGGCATCCGTACCAAAGCCAACAGCAACGCCGTTATCATCCACCCCCCTCTCTAATTCACAGAGACCTGCCGCGCCGGCCGTAGCACTAGCAACTTTGGCTTCTCAGAACCCCTCCGCAGCGAAATCAAGTATACCGTCGATTACTGGCCAGCTTCAGCCTCCACAAGTCATTGTTGAGACGAATTATATCGTATACACTCAAGTCAAGACTGCTGCGCCATCATATATCACTGTCACGCAAACGATACGGCCGCTTCCTCCTCCTCCTCCACCACCACCACCACCCGTTAGACCACCACCTCCTCCAAAGCAAGGAGTCCCACCGTCACCTCCTAAACAGATACAGCCGCTATCTCCGCCGAAGCAGGTTCAGCCTTCATCACCACCAAAGCAAGCTCAACCTCCTTCACCACCCAAGCAGGTTCAACCGCCTTCAGCGCCCAACCAGGTTCAACCTCCTTCGCCCTCAAAGCAAGCGGAACAACCAAGACTTTCTCCCCAAACCCCTCCTGCGGCCAAGAGTCAAGCACCTAATGCAGTGCCTCTTGTGATTCCCGCCCCGTTAGTTGTACCAGCCCCGTTGGTGTTACCTTCAACACCGACTCCAAAGACGACGCCACAGCTGGCTGCTACTTCACCTTCTCCACCGCCGCCGCCGCCTCTAGCAGCAGCACCTCCAGCAACGACACTACTCAGCATTCCAAATTCACCGCCGCCACCGCCAGTTCTCAACCCCATCATGAGTGCCCAGGCACCAGAGAGGGGTGGCATGCCCAATCTGAACCCGAACCCGCAGGCTCAGACTGGTCCTCCCAGCGGGCCTCCTGGCGGGCCTCCTATGGGAGCTCCCGACCCGGCCAATGGGGCGTTCCCGGGTGGTATACCGAATAAGAATATCGACTTGCCGGTCACCATCATGTTCATGGTGTTGTTCATGCTTGGTGCATACGTGCACTTGAGCATTTATCGGAGGAATGCCAAACGTGGCCACAAATTCCTGATTTCGGATATCGTTTTCGACTTCTGTATGATCCGAACAGTGACTTGCATCTTTCGTATCACGTGGTCGATTGTGTCGACCCGGGGGGTCGTGTTGCTGGCGTTGATCACTGAGAACGGAGGGTAAGTTAAGCGGCCCAAGCTTCAAAAGAAATGAACGTCTTGCTAACATGATGCTCAGTGCTGCTCTTTTATTTGCCGTAAACATTTTCTTCGCCCAACGCCTGGTCCGCTCGATCCACCCAAAAGCCGGATGGTGTACCGCGTTTAGTCAATTCAGTTTGATTTTGCTTTTCTCGGTTCCGGCTTTTATCATTCTGAACATGACATCGACAATCATCGCGTTTTTCAGTGTTGGCAATGTAGATCGTCTGGAAACTACAGACGATTTGCTCAAATTCGGGAGTTCGTGGAACACTTTCCTCTCCATATTCCCTGTCCTCGTCGTAAGCGGATGCCTCTCTGTGCCAGGACCCAAGCCAGAGAAGTTCGGTTCTGGCTCACAGAGAGTCAAGGTGGCCCTGCTCTATCTAGGCTCTTTCCTTTTGATTACTGGACAGTCCATTCGTCTGTTCGCCGTCTTCAATAAGGAATTACCAGGAGTCACACCGAGCGTGATCTACGGCAAGGCAGTATTTTACACGACGGGGTTCTTCTTCGAGCTCATAGTTGTCGCACTCTACGCCGTCATGAGAGTTGACCTTCGGTTCCACGTTCCGAACGGAGCAAGTGGGCCCGGGGACTACTCCGGCGACAGTGACAAGGGCAGCTACTCTGTCGAAGAGATTGAACGGCTCATTGACGGGTTGGAGGTGCCTCACCAGATTATGCGCGAGAGAAAGGGACCAGAAGACATGGAGATGGTATTCACCATTTTTTTCGCCACCAAAGACGCCGGAAAGAATAAAGAAAAGAAGGAAGCTGGAGAAGGGTCAGATGAAACGTCGTCTGGTACCAACGCCGAAGACGCAGTACTGCCGGAGAGGCCGAAGAGAATTACCAGGAGGCAAACGCTTATTGATGCCATCAACCGACCTCCGCGGCCGCCAAGAACTCCGTCGGCTTACCCTGACATTCCAGACATGTATGCCCAGATGGGCGAACCGGAGATGCCGTCGAGACGTCCCACGAGGCAGTCCATGTATTCTCAATTCGACAACAGGCAAGCATATGACACCAGGGCCGATGCGCAGTATCAGCAGCAGTACTGGGGTGCATCGCCGCCTTATGGAAACGAAAAGGAAGGCATGAAGAGCATAGACTTGAGACGATGAGGAATGAAGGAATTAAAGCATTGAAGCGAAGCGAGCGAGTTGCGAATGGAAGCCGCTTGGGCATCCGTCTGATGTATTCTATTCGCATATCATGATTATTTTCCAATGGTGGCGGACTTTCACGCAGGAAGCGATGACATATGAGAAAGAAGGACGAGTCCAAAGTCAGCAGTAGTGCCATTTCACTCAACTTCATTCAGCCCCTGGCTGGCCTCATCATGGGAATCATCTGTGACGATTGGCCGACTTCAGTCTTGATGAAGAAGCCTGCTGATGAATAAAGGTCTACAATGTACTCCTCGGCATCGAGATACATTGGGTAGCCCAACTTGTCTGCAATTTCCGTTCCTCGTTCGAGGAGGGCTTTCGCATAACCTCGTCTTAGGTAGGCCGGGTCGGTGAAAATCAGCTCGAAGTCTGGCACATGGTCAGCGTTTTGCGGGCGGGCGGCCGGCAAGATTGTCAGCGGAAAGCTTGTTCGTGGTGAGCAAACCGGCCGGGCAGGGAGTCTAGAGTTGACATACAAACGTGAGGGTCCTTGCCCATGACACGGTCGTGCTGAGACGCCATGTCGGTGAAGAACTGATCAAGCAGCTCGTCTTTTTGCCCTGCATTGGCAGGCGGCCATCGCTTCCGCCACGACCAGGTTCCGTTTTCCTCGGGACGGATAATCCAGATGAGGGTGGTGGCTACAGGTTCGCCTTGAACGAGACAGCTGTCAGTCAAACAAACCAATACATATGGCGCCATCAATTCAGCGGAGTCCGAAGTCCGGTAGGGGTAAGGCAAGATCGGGATTCGGACAGCCGGCGGAGATGATCATGTCGAGGAGTTTTGGCTACCTTTCTCGTTCCTGACAACGGCAACTTGACCTTCTTGAGAGCCGTGCTCCTTGGAGAGCATGAACTGCTTGTAGGCGTCGGTCATGTAGGCCCGGCCGTATTCGTTTTGGGGGAACAAGGTCTGGAAGAAGTCACTGTTGAAGGACTTGAAGAAAATTTCGGCAATGGCGGGGGCGTCTTTGAGCCTGGCCGGCTCAACAACGATAGGTGCTGCCGCCATTGGATTGGAAGATCGGTGGTGACGTGGCGGAAGAAGAGAATGAGTGTCAGAGCGGACGGCAGATCAGATGCCAAGCCAGAGGATGAGGAACCGCGGATATGAGGGTGCTGGCGGGGCTCAACGGTGGGTGAGACGGTTCGGGTGGGAGAAATGAGACGAAGGTGACCTCGAAGGTGAAGGAGATCAAGGAATTAGCCCAGTATTTCAAGGCTGGCAGCTATGGCTAAGACATGGCATGACTCTGAGGCCGAGGCCGACTGATACGATGTGAACAGCGGGGTGCCAAACGCACCCCAACTTCGAAATCCCCAGATTGTGTTCCACCAGGAATCCTTGACTCGACTGCGGACGGGGTTTCCCCAAGGTAATGCTTCACCTCAAGACCAGCTCGTGTGCGCGGAGCGCGAAGACGTCTCCCCGAAGCGTATCCATAAGCAAAATAGGTTACTTCGACAGCCCAAACATGATCAAGGGTGTTTGTCTGAGATGGAAGGGGAAGGTCGAGACAAACAGCAACTCTTATCCTTGTCCAATGGCAATGAGCGAGGCTAAAGTCTGACAGCAGTCACACAGACTTGACATAGTTGTGACATGTCCACGGGTTCGTACTATTCCACAGCACTTGGTAAGATGTTTTGAGGCAGGGCTGAGCAGAATCGTAGGCTGATGTTGGGCGAGGCGCGGAACAAGACTTGACCAGATACTTAGGTATCTAAGTAACAATATTGGATCACGGATGGAACTGTGGCTATTGTATGAGTTGGGATGTGAGTCCAAAACTCCAACTTTGATGGAGGGGTAGTTTCGCTTATATAATGGAAGACCGCTGGCCGGAGGGATAGTGGGGCCGATCACATTGACCGCCTTCTCGCCCCGTCGAACATGGGGCTCCCTCCGGCAAAGGCTTAAGTGGTCACGTGAAACACCATCATTCAACGCGTTTGCGACGCGTCTTCCAAGCGGATGCATCACGTCCAGATTTCTAATTTCCACTTGCACGAGGATACCTTATTCATAGGTTGGAGCTCATATTGCACCACCTCACCGTCCCCTCCTCAAATTATCCAATCGAGCTTGCCCGCACCACATTCAATATGTCCGACTTCGAAGACGAGATGGACGTCGACGTCCCCGTGTCCAAGGACATCACCTTCTCCTCAGACGCCAAGCAGGGCAAGCGCAGCGCCGCCAACCTCCCCGTAGAAGCCGAAGACAGTCTGCCATGGGTTGAAAAGTACCGCCCAGTAAGCCTCAACGACGTGTCCGGACACCAGGATATTCTTGCCACCATCAACAAGTTTGTCGACTCGAATCGTCTCCCTCACCTACTCCTCTACGGGCCCCCGGGAACTGGCAAGACCTCGACGATCCTCGCCCTCGCGCGCCGCATCTATGGCGCCGAGAACATGCGGCAGATGGTTCTCGAGCTCAACGCTTCAGACGATCGCGGCATCGACGTCGTTCGCGAGCAAATCAAAACCTTTGCCTCGACAAAACAAATATTCACTCTCGGACCCTCGGCCAAGTCGGGCAACGGTGGCAGCATGGCGTCGTACAAGCTCATCATCCTCGACGAGGCCGATGCTATGACGAACACGGCGCAGATGGCGTTGCGCCGCATCATGGAGAAGTACACTGTCAATACGCGCTTCTGCATCATTGCAAACTACTCGCACAAGCTGTCACCGGCACTGCTGTCAAGATGTACGAGGTTCCGATTCAGTCCGTTGAAGGAGCGCGATATCAGAGTCTTGGTGGATAAGGTGATTGAGGAGGAGCACGTCAAAATCATCCCCGACGCCACGGAAGCTTTGGTGAAGCTTAGCAAGGGTGACATGAGAAGAGCACTCAATGTGCTCCAAGCTTGTCACGCATCGAGTGAGTACTCATCTGGTTCTGCACAATGGCCCATGGGAGCATGCTAACAACAAAGGTACCCCGTTGCAACCCAAGGACGCACCCAAGGTGGCCGAGGCCGATATTTTGAGGGAAACCATTTCTACAGAGACGATATACAACTGCATTGCCGCTCCTCAGCCCGACGCTGTGCAGGAGATCCTGGATGTATTGTTGAGCACAACAGACGTGACATCCTGCCTGACTACTATCAACACCCTAAAAGTGTCACGGGGTCTTGCCCTGGCAGATATCATCACAGCTCTAGCGGAGCAACTGGCGACACTCGAGGTCAAGCCGGAAATCATGATTAAGTGGCTCGACGGGCTGGCGGATATCGAACACCGTGTTGCTGGTGGCGGCAGCGAGACAGTGCAGACGGGAGCTGTGGTGGGCGTCATTAGGAGCGGAGCAGAGTTGATGAGCAAATGAACAAGTCGGAGTGCAGAGGAGGGTAGCCTACGGAGCATGGATGGCTAATTTACGACGTTATGATTCATCTACGTACAGTCGTCTCGATATGTCTTTTGCATGATATGCCGAATTGCCGTCTTCTACCCGACCTGGGTCAAGCGGCAACACCCAGCCCCCACTTGAGCTTCGGTGCCAATCTTGGAATGTATATACTGGACCAGTGACACCACCGGTACCTCACGCAAAATACCGGGATGAACGCGATTTGTCGGTGTGGCCCCTTAGAAGCTCGTCAAGGCATGCCATGTCTGGCCATCTCTAGCCACCCGCTGCCGATTCTCTGCCCTACCTAACCGTCTTTATATAGCTGTGGCGTATCAGTGGAATGAGCGAGCCGAAATCTGAGATTGGGTCGTTTGAAAGCAATAGGACTGACACCTCGTCGGGTTCCGGGCCCCGTTTCTTCACTACAATCCCTTCAGTTTTCAAGATGATTTCATCTCGGAGAGGTCGGGATAGAGCTAACTAGGCACAGAGGGGTGGTAACTGAGAATGTCTGAATCGGAATCTGGATATTTACTGTAATATGAACCATGAAAGGCATTCTATTGCGAGCGCTCGCCCTGACCGTTTGACTCCGTCGGCCTCCCAAACCAGGGCCATTGAAGAAGTAGACGTCTTTTCCAAATAAACGCCAAAGTCGTCTCGAAACCCAAGTCTTGCCTTGCCTGTCACGTCATGATGGTGATATACACACACTACAAGAAAAGAAATACACACATGCCTGCGATTCTATACAGATGCCGGACCGATAAACGCCTGGCTCATTTGGCTTCCATGAGAAGCGTTTTGTTTCCTCCCTGGCAAGAAAATCCGAGTCAAGGGAATTCTAGAGGAGGGGGGGTGTTTTCCCCACCATGTCCAAGAATCCCGTATCCAAGTCCTTGGCGTACTAAGACATTGGATGAGGCCCCACGTGAAACATACGTCACGTCTCAAAGCCTTGGATGGCAGCCGTGCTTGCGTTATGGCAGGCCAGCGGCGCTGCTCTTTCGTGGCGATGTAAATGTCTCGTGTCAACACCAAGTCGGTGATGACTGGTGCGTTTTCACCTCAGACATCGGGCCACTTGACTGGGCCGCACTCGCCCTGCTGCTCAATCCAGGCGTTGATCTTCTCTACAGCCCAGCCGGACATGGTACGCTTCTCGTCCGTGGACTCGCGCTTGACCGGGTGGCCAAGCTTCCATGCCCAACTGAAGCCGCAGACGCCGTCCTTGTACTGGAATGAAAAGCAGGATCTGTCGGCCTCGCAGGCCTTGCGGCAGTTGCCAAAGGACAAGTGTGCAACCTTCTCCTCTTCTGTCAAGTCTTCTTTCTTGGCTCGATTGAGTTGCCAGTCTTGATGCTTGTTTGCGGATTCGTCGAGGAAAAATCGGTCATCAGCTAGATTGTCCCAATCGGCGCGCTCAGGCTGCATACGAGGCGCAAAGAATTCGTGATAGATATCCTTAATGCGCATGACTGGAGGCGGCTGGGGAAGGCTCGGGTCGGAGTAGCGCTTGTGCTCGTATTCCCAGAAAGTGGAAATCTCCTCGGCATTCATGTGATGCATCGTCACGATGGGGTGGCACCAGTGAGTAGGTCCATATGGCAGAGTAAAAGGCTTTTCGCCGTTGATCGTAGGCCACTGGGAAATGGTCAGTTCAAGCTGTGTATAGAACAGAGAGGTCATGATGAATACTTACCACATTATGGACGTTGACGTCAGCATTGTCCTTCATAGCTAGCGCGAAGATGTAGTCTCCGCAACATTCTTTGCTCGCACGAACATCCCACTTGTTGCCGACATCTTCATGGTCCGCAATCATGTCGTGCATAGCCGCCTGGGAGACGATGTAGCCGCTGCCCCCATGGCCAAAGACGAAATTGCGAATCATGGTGACACTACCAAGGTAGTGCTTATTCTTGGGGTTGAGGTTCTTGAGCCACTGGACAAGCGTGGGCCAGAGCACATAGGTATCGGCGTCGATGTAAATATACCAGTCGTAATTGGGGCGCATACGGTACGTCTTCTCGGCAATGTGAACATTCTTGTACTTGTCGAGATTCCAACCCTCGTCCTTGCTTACAGCCAGCTTGTTGCAGCTCTGCTGGTCGGCCTGACAGGCCTTTTGGCGGCGGTAGAGATCAAAGTCCTGGTTACCTTCCATGGCCTCGGGAAGAACCTTGTCAAGACTGTCCCGAATGTGGTAGTTTGCAACGGTCTGGTCGAGGTCGGAGAAGATGAAGTATTCGGGCAAGCACTTGAGCATGGTCAGGAGTTGAGTGGGGACCTTGTCGAAGGACTCGGTGGCGCCCGTCTTCATGATAACAAGGATATTGCTCGTGTCGGGGAAAGTGTCGCAGACGGGGTCGTGAGGACGGTAGGGAATGTCTTGATTCGACACATTGTGCTGTGCGAGGCGGTCGTCTTGGTAGCTCGGGGGCGGCGGAGGAGGCGGAGGACGGCCATCGGGACCTGCGCTGGGAGAGCTGCCGGCAGGCGGAGGTGGGCCATGGCCTTTGAAGGGGTGGTAGTTGGGGCCTTCTATCGCCCAGTCGCCGCCGAGTCTCCTAGAGGAGATGAGGAAGATGACGGCGGTGACGGAGACAAGGGCGAGAACGGTGAGGGCGCGACGGGATAACATGTTGATGGCGAGAATAGGGTTTATACAAACGTCATTCCGTCTTTGGCTCAATCCCATGATAGCACAATTCGTTTATTGAGGTGAAAGGGTGCCGACGGCGGCAACGGCAAGGAAGTTTGTGGCCGGACTCCAAAAAGGTGGAAGAAAAGTTGTAGCCAGCAGCTGGCTTGCTGGGTTTGCGGTTTGAGAAATAGTATACAGAATTCAGTAGCGATGGGATTGCGCGCGGTCGTGTCGCCAGAAGAACTTGGTAAGAAGTGGCAGAAAGAAAGTTCCTAAAAAAGGTTGAGGATAGTAAGAATAGATAGAATTAGGCAAGGTAGCCAAAAGAGTGGAAGAATGGTGGAAAAGAGGGAAGGCCGGGAAGGAGCGGCGAGGAAGGATATCCTGGGTCTGGGTCGGGATATCTCAGCCACTGTGCGCCGACGCCAAAGGGTTATGAGGTGTGAAGCAGCGAAGCCTGTTGTCTGGTTGGAACTTGTAAGCAAAGGCGAAAGGAGAAAAGGCTGGAGCTGAGTGCACCTCAGTCTTGCTGGTGGAGGGCGGGCCGTCGCAGAAAAGAAGAGTTGGACCCCTGCCTAGTTTGATGGAAAGGTACTAACAAGGAGGTACAGATACCTACCCAAGGCAGTATGTAGAGCGACTCGAGTAAAGCGATACCTGAACCAGGGACGAATACTCTAGAGAAAAACAGGTACAGTGCCGAGTGTGTAAGGAGGTAGTCGAAGCGGGAAAGCGAGAAAAGCGAGAGACATGAGGCTGGGCGGGTACCCGTCTTGGGCAGGTCCTGGCAAGATGAGGTGAAGCAGCCTACGTCCAAGTTTTAAAGTGCGCAAAAGATGATGGCGAATGGACCCGAGGGGCAGGACGCGCTGGACCAGAATGGGGTTGAGATGGATGGATGGCGTGGGGAGCCAAGCGCCAAGCACCACCTGTTTTGCAGCATCAAAAGATTGTCGTGTCCAAAGGCAAAGGGTGAAGGGACGTTGCAGCGCGGATATTGTTCGTAGGACCCAGGACTCAGGAGTAAGGTCCGTACCGACTAAAGGCACCTACCGGTACTTACCTTCGCACCCTAAACTCTAAGGTAGGTAGGTACCTTAGTGCGAGAGGGCCAAAACGGTCCGTCCGTCCTCGCAACCATTTTAGCTTTGCCTTGAATCCGGGCACCTTTGTATGGAGTACGGAGTACCTGATGTGTCCTCTGTACCTAAGGTAGGGCCTAGCTAACCATGCTGCATTGATAATCGCTACGATTTAGGGCCGACGTTTGACATGCACCTCATGACGGTGGCGTGCAAGCTTAGATACGGCGCCGCCAGAGCGACCAAGCGACCGACAGACGTTCTCGTTTTCTGGAAAATATAGTTGATTCAGAGTATCTACGGAGTACCTCAGGAAGAGTTGCGAGACGGAGAGTCGGGATCTGGAGGAAAAGAGTATCGTCGCAGTCGAGTTCGAGATGCAGGACTTGCCCCCACTGTCTTGTTCGAGGTTGAGGAGGTGGACGAACTTTGTTCTTCACCTTTTGTGGGTTTCTTTTGGCTTGGCTTTCAGGATGAAATGAACCTTGATCGCGTTGGGCAATGGAGACCGACCAGGGAACCTTCCATTTTCTGTGACTGTGAGTACGGAGTACGTACCTAAGGTAGGTAGGTAGGTACCTTAGGACGTTGCCCCAGGACGGGTACGTATCTTGTGCCGTGGCCCGCACCTCCAGGCTCCGACCGGCGACTTTTTCAGATTCCTTCCTGGCTTCCATCCACGGTACCCTAGGTATGTAGCAGAAACAACCTGCCGTTTGCCAGACCTGCCTGCGCTTTCCTCGCTGCCACGCCGAGCTCCTTCTCTTCCCGCCTCATTACAGTGGAATCTCAAAAGACGACATGATCCCACGCAGGGGTGGCGATGCTTGTGCTTGAGAAACACATTTTGGTTGGCTTATGACGGCCTAGGCGGCGGGGCAGGCAGGCATCTCCTAAAAGATGACGAGATGGATGCAAGCACAGCAAGCAGCAAGCAAGGGGAAAAGAAGAAGAAGAAGGCATGCTGCAATGCTGTGGATCGGAAAAGAGAGACAATCCAAAAAGGGAATGACGGCAGGCATAACCGAGATGCACACCAGCGGATCATGAGCATAAAAGGGGGTGTGCAATCTGTCAATACGAACTATTCCGAATGCCTACACTACCTGACTACCACTCCGAGTCTGCATAACACCACCATCACATATGAAGCATCCAGTCAAATGTTACCCCCAGACACCTAATTGTGTATCACAGACCGGCCAGGAATCGAAGGATGCTGAGATGCCGTGGATGCTCAGCTCCACTGTCACTTCAAGTGAACTTGCACAATACCTTATTAGGTGCAGACCACCTTCTTATCTTCATCTATCCGTGTGTGGCCTGTGGCCTGCCATCATGCCATGTCACACGGACAAACCCGCGGCCCGTTGTAGCGCTCTCAATCTGTTTGCTTGGTGCTCTTCAACGTCTGCCGTCCCTCGAAAACGCGCAGGAACATTAACGGCTTCTCTTTGTCTGCTGTCCTGTTTCCACGTTCTCCTAGTCACGGCCGTCACCCGGCCGTCCGAGACTTTGGCGGACACTAACTTCCTGCATCTTCTGGCCTAAACCCAAGCCACTGTGCCACTCCATCTGTCAACACGAGCTTCACTGTCCACCCGCCCAAGGGGATCACGGATCTATGGACCGGCGCTTGGGTACCGTGGTACCTTAGGTGCTTACTGCGTAGGTAGACCCAAACTCATAAGTCGTGCCCTGTAGTGTCAAGTAGGGCAAACCCGCGTGTATCCGCACTGTCTTAGCTTATGCATCCGAACAAAGAATTCAACACTACCAGGCGGGCCGGACAAAGGAGGTCGACACTCAGGTCTCGCGATATTCTCAGATATGCCATCACTGATTCTTGAGTCAAGTCAAGCTTTCTGAGCAGCGGCCCACCTAAGCACTTCCTCCAAGCTCTCGCATCTCCATATCACCCCACCGGTCTATCTCAACTTCTTTTAGGTTCAAGTAATAAACGACTCGCTCGACAATGGATCATCGGATAACCCGTTCGGAACAGGGAGTGAGGTGTTATGAGGGTGTGACGAATGCGCTATACTCAGCGGCGGCCATCACCTATACTAAGGTACTACAGTGCTAACTGCTCTGCGGCCATACCTGTAAAGCGTGCATGTCACTAAACCCACCTCAGACGGGGCACCATCCGTCCCTATTTCTGGACATATCCCAACCCTGTGGAAGTCGCGACGCCATCTCATCAGCCACGCTAGCTGTCAAGCTCACTGACGCTCTCGTTGACACTGACACACTCGACAAGGAAACCTGCTGCTGAACATCCTCAAGAGTTTGCCTTGAACCGGCTTCGTTAGCTCTCGGAAGAACAACGCGCCTCCTCACTCCGTCCAGACTGGCACACAGTAGCTATGGATACCTCCTCACGCCATTTCCATACGTGGTGTATAGAGCTAAATCGGATCCCGCGGCCGCTCCATCAACCTACCCTTGATCCTCGCCGTTGCTCCACTTCCGTCTGCCCCGCCGCTGTGCTTCACGCCAATTCATTCTATTCCCACACATGAAAGCCGAAATATCAACCGGCCCTCCACTCTAATTGACTTCCTCTTCCTTGACGCACTCATTCACGCAATATGCACTACTATCAAGATGAGAGAAGATTAGAGAGAATTCCGATCAACTTTGGGAAATATGAGAAGAAGAAAAAGGTTCGACAAAAGGTGGACTCGACCTGTCGCCCCTCAGATCAGGCTGGGGGCTCGGCGGCTCGGCATCAGGACCCTAGCCTTGTAGGAGTTGCATCACCTAGTCACCAGGATTATCATCAGCAGCAGAATCGCGTGAAAAGGGACACTACCCTCTAGCCTTACATTTGCTTGCCACTCAAGGCTGCCTTATTTACAGCACAGTTCATGTATTCAGCTTTATTTAACAACGGGCGCTGGTCCTTTCGTTGAATTTCCACTCTTCTGGGCGTTGGAAGGACTTCGACTCCTCCCCATGACGTCCTTTGGCACTGTTGATATGCCTATCACAGGGATTCTGGTTCGAACCGTGGGTTGACGAAGACGTCAATTGATCTGTATTAACTTCTGCGTAAGGTGGAAAAGAGAGGTTCCAACCGCAGGTTGGGCAGGCCGCGATTATCGTAAGTACGGCCCGTAAGTGGCCCCTGTGCGGGCCCCTTGCCGCGAGGTCGAATTGGACTTCCAATCCGACAGGCACTTCATTGACCATCACTTGGTTGGAAACAGCAAAACAGCTCACACTAAGCGCAGCAGCGAACACCATGACAATCATTGACTGGTGACTACGTGTACTCACTACTAGGACTTATCGTCCATGAGCTACGGATAGCCTTTCGAAACATCGCAATATATGACAGAAGGAGGCACTTGGCTGTTCCCATGTTGGCCAAGCGGCCTTCAACATGGGCTTATCGTGTAAACCCTACAATAAAAGAACCCTTCGTTCCATGTAACAAGCACAAAATCTGCCCGCTTCTTTCCACCGGAGCTCCGAAGCAAACTCCAAAGCAAAGCCGATAAGGCTATCCTGTGCAGAGTCTATCGCCTGTGGCCAAATAGAAAAAGAAAATGGAAGCTGACAATGGGTTCCTGGATGCTTAGCTGCCGTCGAAAGCTTCCAAAGACCGGAATATTAAACCTCTTGTCAGGCGAAGCGGCCAATCAAACAAGGTACTGGCTAAAGTTAGTTTCTTATTGCGGCGCAATTGACATCCCTTTGCTACCTGAGATTGGCTCGACTTGCCCACTAGCTAAGATGCAAATTCAATTGGAATATCCTATTGCTAGGATAGTTGAGAAGCACGTGGTACATTTACCTTTCCATCATATCAAGTTAGCAACTTGTCTGGTGGTTGGGCAGCTATCTCCGAGGTCCTACCCGCAGAAAAAGATTGAGAAAAGACCTTTTCCCACTTTTCGTGGGAAGCAGAATATTTCAAGACAGAATATCAAGTGGAGAAGTTGAGTTTACTCCTCGTTCATCATATCCTCAGGTAAGTAAGCTGGAGGTCGAGGTGCAGCTTGCGACTAGATCAGTCACAGAACGTTCGACCTTGGAATCTAAGGACCACCCAATCCCATGCCACTTGCAAGGGCGTATCACCTACCAGATCACCGCAGCGAGATCCGCATAAAGCTCGTCCCTCTGTCTTACGCATCCCAAAGCTTGTCACATGTTCATACACGCCGGCTGGAAAGGAGTTGACTTTGAATGCCGTGTATTCACGAGAGCTTTAGCCAGTGGCACCCATCTCCAAAGGCGGTCAGAAAGGCCGCTCAATGCTATGGCCGGCTTGCTCACACAATTCATCATACACGTAAGGCTTTTGATCCTTGGTATTGCCATGCGTAAAGTCAGAGGTTGGGTTATTTGTGAAGCACATCGTATTTTGGTGAGTGTGGTTCCATTTGGAATCAGCTAGGATCGATATTTTTCTAACTCGCTGTTGAAAATCTCAGCAAGGACAACGGAGATCCACGAATCCATTACCTGGCCACCGAGAGAGGCTCATAATCATGTCAACCGAGTATAGAAAGTCTCTCCTCTTGGCCTGCTACAGTGCTGTGCATGTCTATGCAGGCATCACACCAGCATTTGTAAGCTGCCGCGTATAATCCCTTTGAAGACAATTGATAATACTTTTCACATGAATAAACTAGATAGTCTGCGTGTGTAAGGTGCCCATTCCCTAACACATATCGAACCACAGGCCACCATAAACCCGGCCTTACAGGCTAAGATTTACGGACACAAAACTATCATTATCTGACTGAGCGATTTTAGAGCTTTCGATCGGGTCGAAGTGGATAGCGTGGCAAGCCTTCCCCCGAAGAAGAGACGGAAAAGTGTGTTTTGGCTCATGGGTGCCTAGCCCCATGCTCGTTCTTACAAGCCCCCAATACCCTCTGTAAATGAATCTTTAATGCTTCAAGAGTCTTAATAATCTCCTCGAATGTCCTTGCTTAGCGGTGCTTGTCTTGTCCAGATGTTCATCCCAACCTTTTGTCCACTTGTGACCGGCAACCCAGCATGCAAATTACGTTGATCTCCAGAACCATCGACGTGAAGGTTTTCCCAGTACACGAAATTTCCATCCAACGGCCGGAATGTCACACCTCTCTCCCAAGGCTCGTCGCAGTCAATGAAGGAGCACCATCGTTCGTCAGAAGGGGCGTCTAAGAGCGGGAAGTTGGTTCCCCCTCCAGTGACGTTAACCGCCGACACATAACCAAAGAAAGAAGAAAGCCGATTGCCGCCTAGATGAGCTCTGGTATGCGCGGGATCTGTGAACCAATCCGTGTGAAAATGGTATTGCTGACCCTTTCCATACTTGACCAGCTGCAATGGTTCCACGTGACTCTTAGGCATACCATATCCCTGGAACGCTATTGCGCGCCCTTCGATGCAGCGAACGACATCATCCCGCCACAGGCTGGTGCTCTGAGAAGTGCGTACGTTGTGCGTGGTTTTGCCTCCAGAAGCATCAATAACTCCAGAGTGGGTAAACGTATCGCTCCTGACACAGATTAGTTACATTTTTACGCAAACACTGCAAGATAAACTAACGCCATTCCCAGCAGATGTGACCGCTCTGCCGCCGTGATGAAGTCGGCGATATAAATCACAAGGGGGGATTTAGATATCATGTGGACCTTGTATGGCGGGTGTGTGCATACGTATTCCGATATGGGTTTCTGATCTTGAGATGACACGGGGACGACCAATGTCGCCGCGAGGGCAAACGCTGCGGTTGAGAGAAGACTAATCATACTGTTTGGATATTGAATCTATATGCATGAGGTTTTGCTACAATCTTTCAATATGGGAGCAACCTCGTTTATGAAGCCATCGCAGCTAGATTTGAAGTCGGATGATCGATACAGTCGACAGTGGCTGAAACCCAGGGCGTTTGAAGCGCGAGCTGGCAATCCTCGTTGGCACGTTGGGTCATTCGTTTGGGTTCCCGATTCCCCATGGCAATTTGGGTTTCAATTCAGGGGTTTCCTCGTCTGATCAGCGTACCTTACCTTAGCTTCAGACGTCGAAACGCCACACTTATGGGGCGCCAGCCCCCAATCTGACTAGGGGTTCAACCTGATCGTCAGCCGATGTTTTGTTTAGCTCCACAGAGAAAGGGCTCACTTTCATTATCTCAATAGTTGGCCCAACATACAGCCAACATCGAGAAGCCTGTCAGATTGACATGGAAGGTGGCGACGCGGACTTGGCAACTCTGCAGGATGCTAACGTTCTTCTCAAGAGCAGATTCGCACAAATATCTCACTGTTGCTAATCGTAATGGATTGGGACGGGCCCAATAAGAAATCTGACAAAGATTAATCAACACATGTGGACTATGTCAGCTGACAATGAATGTATGTAAAAGCATCTGATGGCCTTACCAAAGCCCGATGTCTGGCGTCGACCCAATGGCTCTGGCGGAAGGTGGCACAATCTTTCTGCGTTGACTACCTAGGTATTATTGGAGATGCTAGCTAGACACACAAGAGCGATGGATAATGTCATTGCAACCAAGGGGTAGTCTGAGAAAAATGGCTGGTCTCTAAGAAATTTGCTTCTTGTATTCACCAGCGCGGTTCTATACTGGCCGCCACATAATGGTAGTATTAGGTCCAAGAACCAAGGTACTTTATGGATCGTATGGTCCAGTCGCCCTACGGCCAGTGAGCAACTCTGCCTCGCCCGATGCTTTGACCAAATAGATGTCTTCGTGTCTGACGCCAAATCTATTTTCCAAATAGATTCCAGGCTCGTTCGTGAATGTCATACCGGGCTTAAGCAAGATATCTTTGTTCCACTTGTTCAAGTACGGCGACTCGTGAGCTATGCGGTACGGATCAATGACTGCTTTCGACCCCCGATCATGAGGAACATGGGGAACATACCTTTAATACCGATACCGTGACCCAAACGATGCGTGAAGGCGTATCCATAGCCAGCGTCTTCAATGACTTGACGAGCTGCAATATCCACACTTGCTGCTGTGTTATTCGGCTTGAAAGCAGAGGCGGCAGCTGATTGTGCCTCCAACACAATGTCCCAGACCCTTAGCTTCTCGGCACGCAGCTCAGAGTCCGCAATGAGATGCTGTCGTGCCTCCGGGTTTTGGATCCACGACTTCAGCAGGGAACCCATCATAGTATGTACCTGTGGCTTTGGTGGATCGATGAAGAAGCTGCGACAAATATCCGAACTGTAGCCCAGATAATGGGCACCAACATCGATGACAACCATGCTCTCAGGGGTCAACTTTTTGAAGCCAGTGACAAAACCCCCATGAGGAAGCGCTCCGTGCTCCTCGAACAACACAATATTGAAGAACAGTCCAAAGTTGATGGAGAGGAGAGCAGAGTTGAGAATCTCGGTGACTTCATCTTCTGTAAGCCCTGGCACCAGACAAGGTCGCATCGCTCTGACAGCGACAACAGTCCCAGTATTGACAACGCGAAGCAATTCGACCTCCGCAGGGCTTTTTTGCTGCTTCACGAGTTCAACTTCCTGAGAGAGGCCGACAGTCTCGAACCCGGCAGCATCCAGTCCTCTGACGATGAAGTCACGAATTTCCTCGTCAACCATGAGCTTTCCATGATGGCCATCGAAGAGACGTGACTTGAGCAGCGTGTCGTACGGGTTCCAATGCTCTTCCCAGATGACAATGTCCAGTTCGTCTTCCCTTGTTGGTATACCGAGCATCCGTACCCTGCCCTCTTCAAAATGAGGCGACAAAAAGGCAGTCTTGGCGCTCACCTGACCAGAAGAAGACACATGAGGGAGGATGAACATGAGGAATGGCCGCTCTTCAGGCTCCCAAGGTTCCCAGTCAACCTGAGAGATGTTGCCATAATATCTGCCCCCATGTCAGGACTCACATACTCGGAGGCTCAGAGGTTTTCAGGCTGTCGATGAGCAACTTACTGAAAAGTGTAGCCAGGTTCTAAGACGAATGCATCTACATTTGATGCAACCAGAGCTTGGGCGAGTCGATCTCTGCGTTCAAGGAATTCTTCTGCAGAGATAGGTACGGCGGGGTCGAGAAAGGACAAGTCGGCATGTAGATTATCAATAGTGCATTGCTGTGCTTTCAGGTATGGAGTAGATGCAAGTTCCCGCGACTGGAACGACAGAACATAGTAGCATGAGATGGATGCATATAAGAGCAATGAAGTCGCAATAAGCTGTAGTGCGTTGGGGGACCGTCTGGCATTATGCCTTTGCACCTGTGCCTGGTGCAGAGGTATGCCCTCTGGATGTTTTGTTGAATCAGGCATTGCAATCGTTGCTGAAAAACGTTGCGGACTGCGTCGAGCAAGTTTTGAAGTAGTAGCACAGAGAAAGACAAGAAAAGACTTGAACAGCTTCATTCTCTCCGCGCTGAATAAACGGAACGCAAGCAAGCACACCAGGGGTGATGCAATGCCGAGAAATCAGACGTGTCGGAGGGTCTCCGACCTCGCGTTCTACCCCTCTCCGGGGTGCAGGAATTGGAGATCCTTTCCCGGATTAGGAAAGCCTCTCCACACGAGTCATGCCAGGATTGCAGCAGCAACAGCAGGTACGAGCGTCCATCCTATCGTTTACGACATGGGTGTCGATAGCGGTAGACAGTTTCCCGTCGGCTTACAAGGCCGATCCGGAGGAGAAAAGATAAGCAAGGACGCCGCGGCGTACGCCGTCGCTTTTCTCTTCGGCATAGTTGCGCCGACATGAAGTGCCGTCCTTCGAGTTAAGTATAGAGACTGGCCCATATGAAGACATCTGAATTGCGTGTCCTTGTGTGCTAGATTATACCACACATTTGTTGTGTATCTTGAGAGCCATTGACTCGGATGATACCACACAATGGTCACAATACCAGAAGTTGACAGGGCATCCTTCCGTACTGAGGAGCGCACAGCTCCTAGAAACGACAAAATTGCTATTGACGAAAAGAAAATCGCAAGCAACGCCCCGGATAATACTGATGTAGGGGTAGTAGAAGAAGAATCACAGAAGACATACTACAGCAGCCTGTCTGTTTGGTTGATGGTTTTGTTCTCTGGACTAGCAATAGGTTCAGATGGTTAGTATGTTGGACATCTACTCTCGCTGCCTTCTACCTTAAATGTATCGCTCACAATGCTGCAGCAACGCCGCCGTAATTGGGAACGTCGAACTGCTACTTGCAATCCTTTACCCCGACGATCTGACTACTACGATATACCAGAGGCTATCCAATGCTTTTCTGATCGGCATGATTGTGGGAATGATACTCTTCGGTGTCATCAGTGACCAACTTGGCCGTAAGACTGGTGCTGTGGCCACAACAATCTTGCTGGTACTAGGCATCGCCTTGTCGACTGCTGCCAGTGGTACTACGACCACAGGCATGTTTTGGATGCTTATCATTGCTCGTGGTATTGCCGGTGTAGGCGCAGGAGGAGAATACCCAGTCTCTGGCGCTGGTGCCGCCGAAGCGACCGACGAAGACGCCAAGTTTCGCAAAAGGAGAGGCTTCATGTTTGCGATGCTCGCAGACTTATCAGCCAGTCTAGGATATGTGTGGGGAGGTTTAGTGCCGCTGCTGCTGCTGTTGTGCGTTGGCCAACAAGTCTCAAAATACCATATTGTTTGGCGAACCTCGTTTGCGTTGGGTATGGCACCCCCCCTTCTCATCTTCTGGTTCCGGATGCGAATGGCAGTTTCGACAGCGTACCGAAAGTCAGCATTGCGGAAGCAGAGAATGCCATACTGGCTTGCACTGAAACGGTATTGGCGACCGCTTCTTGGTGCAGCATCAACTTGGTTCTTGTATAACTGGATCTCTATTCCCTTTGGAATTTTCAGCTCAACAATCATATCAAGAGCCAACGTGGAGGAAAGTCTTGTTAAAACGCTCGGGTGGGGCGTAGTAATCAACTGTTTCTACATTCCTGGCCCTTTCATCGGGGGGTACCTATCGGACAAGATTGGGAGACGTCAGACTATGGCTTTGGGTTTCACGTTGCAAGCAATCCTCGGTTTCGTCCTCGGGGGCGCGATGAATCCTATCCAGGGTGTATTTCCTCTTTTTGTTGTCCTCTACGGCATATTTTTGACGCTTGGCGAAGTTGGCCCAGGAAGGTAAGGGTACCCTCTGTAACCGTTAAGACCATTTAACTTACCGCCACTGCAGTACTGTTGTTCTGATAGCCTCCGAATGCTTTCCCACATCCATACGTGGTCAGATGATGGGGCTTATCTCGGCCTTTTCGAAAGCGGGAGCTGCAATTGGCACACAGGTAAGCGAACTCTTACCGTCTGTTACTACAAAATTGATCTGCACTGACACGACATGAAAGGTGTTTACTGCGATTTTGAACAAGTACACCGCCGATCCAGCTAAAGGAAACCAAGTCGCATTTCTGATTGGTTCTGGTTTCGCTGTTCTTGGTGCTATTATCGCGCTTTTCGTTATTCCAGACATCTCAAGGCACCTGAATGACGACGATGAAGCTTGGAAGAAGTACCTAGCTGAGAATGGCTGGGACGCTCAATGGGGCGATGAGGTGACACGCGATCCGTCCGGTGTTATCATGGATAAAGCTGCGTCTTAGCTTAATCATCACATCCGAATTAGTGCACAATACATTGGATCAATTTCGATCAAAACAACTGAATACATTGGTTCATCATTGGTATGCCGGAACTTACAGGTAAAAGTTTCAGGAGTGGCTTGACCGGATGAAGAAAGAAATAACCTCACTCAGGTATCAGCGATTAGCTCAAAGTAGAGATATCTATAGTTCATCGATGCCTACGTACTAATTGAGGGATTGAAATTTGTTGGTCACACTTTAAATGGGGCACTTTGCGCCGAATCTTGCTTACATGTCTACCTAGGTAGTGTTCACATCAGGAATTCGTACTTGTGTAGTCAAGCCCGCTGCCCAGCGTGATAAACAAATACATGAATGCGTATGAAGTGAACTGTAATGCCACCAAGAATCTATTTCTATCAGTACAAGGTACTTGGAATGTCTACAAATAACTTAGGCGGAATAAGAGAGATCATACAACTCCACAAGTTACGCTGAGGGTCCCCATGCAGAATAGCTTGCCGAGGTGACATTCAGTCAAGGTATGGAGTTATATACCTTCGTGACCTGCCTGAACTGGCATAGTTAAAGCAAATACGAGGAAGCCAAGCACAAACGTCATTACACTTCACGGATGGTAGACAACGGCGGAATGAGTTTTGCTTGGCCTATAATCAGCCAGGAGGCCCCCCGAGATTCCTTAATCCTTTGCAAAAGTGGAAAATACACTGTGAAAAATGAAGGTATCAGTCAACTACTCTTTCGCTCTACTTTGGGGAGGATTGTCGGTCGTCTCGACACAACCATTTGACGTCAAATACAATGCCCTTCAGAGCCGATACATTGTCAGCTTGAAAGCTGGAGTTGACGGAGACGCGCTCCGTGGACATATACATTGGGTACAAGACGTGCATCGTAAACGAGGCTTGTTGCGGGATGGCATCTCCGGCGTTCAAAGAACGTTTGACATCGGCAAGTTCCACGCCTATGCTGGCTCATTTGACGAAAAGACTTTGTTGGAAATAAAGAGCAAGGACATAGTGAGTAAATATCGTGACTATTGTCCTACAAATACCTGACTTTGACTCAGGTTGAGCTTATTGAGCCTGACACGCCGGTATACCCGTTTGGAATAGTCACGCAGAATCAAGCCACTTGGGGGCTAGGGGCAATATCACAGGCTGAGCTTGTCAGTACTAATGCAAGTCTGCGCAATGGGTTTGAGTACACGTACGACGAGAACGGAGGGAAAGGAACGTTTGCGTATGTGGTTGATACCGGAGTTTGGGTGGATAACCCGGACTTTGAAGGTCGCGCCGAGCTCGGCTACACTGTCTACCCAGAGATTCCCTTTGAAGACAGTAGTGGACATGGTACTCATGTTGCTGGAACAATCGCCTCCAAGACGTGGGGTGTTGCTAAAAAGGCGCAAGTCATTGCGGTGAAGGTAATTGCGCCAAACCAGGTACGTCAAACAATATGAAGTGACCCTATCTAGGAGAGATTCAGTTGTAACACTTCGAGAGTAGGGAGTCATGTCTGACTTCATGGAGGGCTTTTCTTGGTCTGTGAAAAATATTACCGAAACGCCAGGCCGTGCAGCCGTGTCTGTCATCAACATGAGTCTAGGTAAGTAGGTTGATACTCAGTCAGCAGCACCCCCACGCAAGTCATGAGGCTAATGGAAGAATGAAAGGCGGCCCGACGAACTATGCATTCAATAGTTTGGTTCACGCAGCATCCGAGCAAGGCATTCTCTCCGTTATCGCAGCAGGTAACGCCGCTGTTGACGTCAGCCGAGTGTCGCCGGCTGGAACTGCCAGAGCAATCACCGTTGCAGCCAGTGCTGTCAACAACACTGCATGGAGTTTTAGTAATTTCGGACCTGGCGTCGACTTGTATGCACCGGGAGTAGACATATACTCCTTGTCTCTTGAGGCTGGCAAAGATGTTGCCTTGAGTGGGACTTCCATGGCATCACCACACGTCGCTGGGCTAGCTTTGTATTTAAAAAGTCTTGAGCCCGGCCTGGAAACAGTGGATGCCATCACGGCCAGGATTTTGGAGTTGTGTAAGCGTGGTACCGTTCAAGGGGTTCCGGGAAGTACCCCGAACTTCTTGGCGTTTAATGGTGTCGGTGTTTAGCTGTCGGATCCTACAACCAAATGATGTGAAACTCGTTGTTGACAATGGTGTAAAGGCCGAATACCGCCGAGCGCAAGTACGGGTCGAAAATCTAGATAGGTAATGGGGCCACTGCAAACTTGTGTGGTGAAAACCGTCGATCCGAGCGGATGAGACTCGGACTTTAAGAATAGACGTTGCCCGAGCCGAGAGGTTATCAGTATAAGAATTGCTGATAAGACCGGTGATTCTGCGTTGTGCAATCTCTCCTGTTAATATTCCTACGTTTTCTCATAGTGATCAAGCATCGGAATTGGGAAGATGCGCACTCAATCCTTGCTTGGAAAAAGTGACTCTGCAGAGTCTTGGGCTCTGAGAAGTGTCTCCGGGGAAGAATACGTCGTCCAAATTGGTTTCCCAAGAGACTGGACGAGTCGCTCTAGACAACAACATGAGGCTCCGATTCCGGTTTTGTACGTCAGGCCGATTGCTATGTTCGTGTTCATCACTCTGACGGGCAGCTAGTTACCTTACGGATGGAAACTCTGTGTTTCTAAGTGCTTTGGAATCAATGCATCGCCATTTATGTATGCGCTCTCCCGAAACCCAGGGAATCGTAGTCGCTATTGGCTACTCTATACCAGCGGACTCAAGATTTCTCATGAGCGCCCGCAGAACTAGAGATTTCACTCCACCTGCCCATGGAGCAGCTGGCCATGAAGGGGGTGCGGATGTCTTCCTTAGCTTTTTGCAGAACAAAGTCAAACATTTAGTTGCTCGACGGCTTGACGAGACCCGGGGGGCGACTGTAGGCCGTGAAGCGCTCTTCGGACATTCGTATGGGGGGCTACTCTCTCTGCACGCCCTATTTACAAGAACAGATATGTTTCACTGTATCTTGGCCAGTAGCCCCAGCATTTGGTGGAATGAGAGCTACATCCTTACCGAAGAAAAGTTGTTTCAGGAGGGAATAGAATGTCAGAAAAATAGTCCATCGCTCATGCTTTTTGTTGGAGACGAGGAACAAAATCCAACGAGAAGGAGAGGAGAAGGCGATGAGGAGTATAACAGGAGGCTGAGACGGCACCGAGGACTGCAAATGGTTGATAATGTCATCACCATGCATTCACGATTAAAAGGAAGCGCTCGGCTAGAACGTCTCGCGATAAGGGTTTACGATTGAGAAGATCACGAATCTGTCGTAGCCTGCTCCCTTAATCGGGGGCTGGCGACGTTCCTTGACGATTGGCCTCTAGTATGAAAGAAGGAACATAAATACTTCTTACGCAGAGCCCAATTCTTAGTTCGTCCCATCGAAAATATTCTCAGGAGTACACCGAGCCTTGTGATTTTATTGGAAACGAGTACCTAAAGCTGTCCTTATCCCAAGCACGTGAATCATGCCAACTTCGGACATCTTGATGGCCACTGGTCCTTGCCGAACTTTGCTACTAGCAGGGTGCCCAGTGCATCCCGAATACTGCCTCAGAATCGTTTGACACTTGAACTGGAAGTCGATTGTTCTTGAAGTGGCTCACGAAGCGAAAGAAATCTCACGAAGACTGTCTACTCAGCTGCCGGGCAGTGATCATAGTAACCATCGGCGTTGTTGCCCCACCATGTCGGGAAGGGAACAGAAGGGCCACCAGCGCCGAACACCGCAAACGACAAGATGAAGAGTACAGTAAGACTAGCTCCGTCGAATGCACCGGTGACAAGGTACGAGTAGTCTTTAAAGATGCGAGGGCGGTAGTTGCGGAGATAGAATTGGACGAAGAAACCACTAATCAGCGAGCTGAAGAGTACGCAGGTTTGAGATGCATTGTACGGGATATAGCCCGCATATTGGATGAGTTGGGGCAAGTTGATATCGTATAGGGAGTAACCGCGGATTTTGGGGATAAACTGAGCCGCGTTAGCAAGTGTAGCATATTCGAGTACCACCAGAGACTTACGTATGCAATGATGCGGTGGATAATGACAACACCAAAGCCGATACCTAGACCAATCGGCACAAGAGCGTATTTGCCACCAGTCTTGTACAGGTACTTAGCAAGTGCCCAGGATGTGGCGTTGGTGTTGTACGATTGCATCGTTGCACCGCTCCAGGAACTGTTTCCATCGCTGTCCACGAGAAGCTCTCGATTTCCGTTCACAATGGAGATCATGACTGCGTAGTTGATGAATCCGCCAATGATGGTACCGTAAATCTGGGTGAGGAACATAACACGAGGAGGGATTTTGACTGGTGAACCAGGTTAGCAAGGTTCAGTTAGTCGTATACACTGGTACATACGGTATTCTCCCATCTTTAGGTCGTTGGAGAGATTAACAGCATTCGAGATGACGTTGTGCGACCAAGCGGCAAAATACATGTTGCCAATGGGACGCTCAGGAAGGATGAGACCTGCCAGCATCTTCGATAAGTTGTTCGTAGCAATTCCATTACCGAAACGAGAGTAAAGAATCGTGCTCTAGACGCGAGTCAGCTAGGAATTGGGAGCTAAACCGTGGGTTGCATGCTTACCAACGGCGCGATGAAGATTCCCAGAAGCAGGGACACGACATATGCCCAGGCCGGAAGCGTGACGTTCTGTGTGGTGACAACCACGAGGCCAAGAATGAAGCTGACGACGAGTACAATAACGTACCACCACCAAGGGGTCTCCTTGTAGTGTTTGGTCATGTGATCGTGATGGCGATCATCATATCTACCACTCTTTGCGCTCTGGTACGCCCTCTTAACGTCTCCGCCCCAGAAGAAGAAGCAATGGGCAACCAGCGCACCAATCTAATGTTCTGTCAGCCTTCATTGCGGCGACAAAGTAGCGCATGACCTGTAAAACTCACCGCCGCGTTGGCCATGAACATCGCGTACGCGAAACTGCCTGTGAGCCTTGGGATGCCATACTTGGCGAGGGCGTCCTGGTTGAGCACACCGCCAGTGAAAACCTTGGCGATGGGATACGCAGTACCGTCCTCGGAACGCAGTCGCGTCGACATGAAAGGCTGCGACTTGGCATCCCAGGCGTTTGTGTAGTAGATTCCAATCATTGCAAGGAAGCAAATGAGGAATCCAATAGCAGAGTGAGCCTGCAGTGTCAGAGGAAGTGAAGTGTTAAATGAAGTAATCTGGCGATACGTTAGTCTTCAAGTACCTGTGCCGAACTGATGATTGATTTCCTCACATATTGCCAATCGAAAGACAGTGAGAATAGGCCTAAACCTTCATTGTTGATAGAGCCGCCAAAAAGGTTCGTGAGAACAGCAGCCTTTGAACCCGTGGCGTTCATGGCAGCGAGGCAAGGAATGGAAACGGAGTTCAGCCATGGAAAGATGTATGCTGGGAAAAATTCGTAAACAAACATTCCTGCAAAACTGTACCAGAACCAACGCAGGGGTTTCGAGTTCTTCAAATCCTGCCAATGAAGACCTTGAAGAGTCTTGACTGTAGGGAGAGTGCTCCAATATACGGCGTCGACATGCCACACGGCGATGGGGCGCATGACACCGCAAATGCCGTAGCCAAAGAGGCCAATGGAGATGACGGTCAGGACAACGGTTGTCGGACTTAGAGGCAAGTCGTAAAAGAGATCCTGTGCCGCAAATACCTGAATACTAGCGGCAGCATTGGACGCAGATGTGGCAGTGATGGAGCAGATTGCATGTTCTTTTAGTCCCCAGGGACCCGGGTTGAAAAATTTGAAGATCTTGACGTACGCCGGAAGTTCGCCTTCGGGATGGTCCTGCCTCCAACGAGCTTCAAGCTTATCACCACGAGGGAAGACCTTGGCCCACGCCTTGCCCACGAAGTAGCCGATAAGAACGATAAAAGTTCCGGAGATGGTGACGGCGGTCGGTTTGAACTAGTAGACAGAGTAGAGCATTTTGTTAGCCAGATGTCGTTCCACTCCCGAGTCATCAACTAAGAAAAAGGCTCACAGTGTAGATTTGACTCATAACAGCCTGGAAAGCTGAGAGGCAAGTTGCCAGAAACATACTCCGAAAGGTCAGCGCAGGGTCGAAGTCGTCCCGGAGCGGCAGCAAGTATCGGGCGGCGTCGGCACCGGTAATGATGATGGCATTGTCGCTGTTGTCGTCCTTCTCATGGTTTCCATCGTCGGATTGCGTAGTGACCGGAATAGCTTGAATCTCGGAAGCCAGTTCTTTTCCAACCCCTGACTCGTCGATGCTGACTTTCTCGTTGATGGCTTGATGAGAGGGGACCGAAACAATTTTGCCCTCAACGGGATTCAGCCCCCCCACCACGATGGCATCTGTCAATGGCACCGGCATATTCGCGACGGGAAAGCACAGACCAGGGCAGGAAAGGCAAGAATTAGAGAGACTAGTAACTCAGACAAAAGGATCGGGTCGCCAACCTGAAGTGCTAGCAGTTCGGGATTTCCGCATACTTGGGGGAAGGCAAAGGTGGTCATTTTGTACTCTATGCCTCAGCTTGTTGCTGAGTGGCGACCCACGTTGTACGACTGATCCGATATTGATTGTCTTAGTGATAAGAGGTTCGATGTCGTGATAAGGACCGGCATTGGTGCAATTGAGGACCTTGAAGCTGTTGTAGGACAGACCATCTGTTAGATGCCGCTCGACAGGGATTGATGCATGTAGTCTGGACATGAGCTGGGGTCTTCGAGCGAGCCCGGCTGATTGGAACGCCACTCCACAAAGAGAACTATGAGCTTTTAGGAAGGTCCCTATCAAAAGGTTACTGACGTGATAGGGATTCCCGGGAAAGTCCAAGATTTCGTGATGGCTTCTTTCTACTGGCAGTGTGCAAACGTGAACATGTTCTCCGGATGCTCGGCGCATTAACAGAAAGAGGGTGTCCCAAGCAATGCCCAGGCGGGAAGGTCATGTCTTAAGCCTTGCCAAGATGTGGCCGAGACCTTGGGGCGACTGATGGCGGATTCGACCACCCATCCCAACATCCCAACTCATGCCATCTATGATCTATCGGAGTTGCGATACCCTGGCTTGGCTTGTCTTGATGAAGAACCCGGCAGGGATTCTAAGATGAAGCACCTGACGCTCATTTGCTGACCCCAGGTGGGGGTGGATCCCGGTCCTTGCACTTTTGTCCTTGACGTGCTCAGTCGCCCGAACTTTTGCTCCAAACGTGCTTGATTGAACTTTTGTTTTTGACGACGATGTGGCAGAAAAATCGTTTTTCTGCATCCAAGTACAAGGCTACGCCTGTGAGCCCGACGCATGGTCTAAGAGCAGATGATGAACCGCTCAGTCGGTATCTCAATGTTATGGTGGTCGAGTATGCCTCCTTATCTCATCGGAACACGCGGCCACTTTGACAAAAAAGACGCAAGGTTACTTTGTATTTCGGATTAGTGTTCGCCCCCATGATGGTCAGTCTACACGTGGGTGTGGGGGCAACACATTCGGGGCCGTTGCGATGCAAGTGGATCCCATAAAGTAGACCAGTAAGGCATGAAGAACTCAAGAGGATAAGCAGGAGAGAGAATTGAGCGACTCCTCATCTATCACGCGACGACGGCAAAATGAGTGCCCAGTGGTCCCTATAGGGAAAGAGGGCACAGACACGAACTGCAACGGCCTCATGGTGAGAGACAGTTGCTGGGAAATCTTGACTGCCAAGGCAAAATACAATTGGGCGCCCACATGAATGTCAAATGTGCATTTGCTTATCACACTCACTCTTCTACGGAGGATGAAGTGGCCATACCTTCGATAAACCGAAATGAGGCTCCTAGCTGGTGTGATGGAAAAGCGCTTTGAGATATAAGTAATGCTGAACTACGTGGGCCATGCATTGCTGACGAAGCTTCCAATGCCATCGCTTTTGGCCATAGCCAATAGTGATGATATCCGAATTGTCTGTATTAGGTAGTTCTCCTGGCCATACCCAAACTTCATCTTTAGGGATTATCTTCGAGGATATAACGACTGACGTAGCATCTAAGGGCACTATTACACGGTATATGCAACCAAAACCGGCTAATGTCTTCTCTGTAAGAGAATTGGCTCGAATTATCTTACGATCACTTCAGTGTCCCTATACCCCAGAGTAGTATAGACCAACTTATACGATGCTTTCGAGCCGGACCCTGTTATGTGGGCGTTCAATTCAGTGGCCAAGAGACTTTGCTAGGGCTTGACCAAGGCCGGTGCACAAGGGCCTATAGTTAAGTTATGTTTATAGGAAGGGA